CTTACCGATACACTGACACAGATTTGAACGCAAAGTGAACCAAAGTAGAACGCACGCAGTGAATCTCCCCTTCAGTTACTGGATACACAGGACTCTGCAGCTGTCTGTAAGCTGGCTTTTGACAGTCAGCAATGGCAGAGGATCAAGACTGAGACTCCGGAAAAAGGTTCCCACACTTTTGTGCCATCTGTGAATAACTTTGATTTTAAAATATTTACACAATTATACTTATTTTTAGAATAAAATCTTTTTTGATGAAAGACATGTTTCTGCATTTTTATACTATGAAGACCAACGGCTGGTGTTGGATGGATAACATTGTCGGTTACTAAACTTGACTTATATGTAGAAAAGTTTAATACACATTTCTACATTTATTCACTTAGTGGATTACGTTATCATTTATGTGTACCATACTATTAAATGTTATTATTAGTGTGTTACTAGACTACTATTGTGCTCCCATTGGCTAGCTTTCCCTGCTGTTTCAATAGAAGGGATTTCAGCTGTACACAAATAGGAGCATACAGCTTTAAAGACTTATTAGGACTGTTCTGCTCATTTATGGTGTTTCAAAATTATTAAGGATTGTAACTATTACCATTTTCTTTACTTGTTGACACAATTTATATACTTCCATTTGGTTTGTGTATATTAAAGATTTTATTGTTATTATTGCAATTATTACTGATCCATTGTATAACATTGTTTAGCAGACTTACCATTTCTGCAAATTTTAAATATTGAGGTTTGAAATACACCTATTTTAGAATTGTAAGTGATAATATCTATCTCCTGGTTGCAGCAATTTTATTTTCTTCTTTTTGCTATTCTTATTCTTTTTATTAAAATCTTAAAAATGTTTGACAAATTATTCTATTCTTTTGTTTGGTTTAATAAAAAGCCAAGAATAAGTAGGAAAATAATTATAACACACTCAAGAGAGGGAGGTTTGTCCTTCCCCAACATACAGCTGATCCATAATTCAGTCATGTTTTCCCATTTTTTGGAATGGGGTAACATGAAATCTAGAAGCAAAACATGGTATAAGTTGGAGAAAGAATAGTGTGCTGGAATAGATCCCTTCTTATTCTTTTGGCTTGATAATAAAATGTTTAAAAATCTAGGAATAAATAACTGGATTATATCACAAATGTTCAAATCAATTGATCCGATAAAAAAACTTTCTTGTTCAAAATCAAATTTTGTGTAAAGCTTCCTTGGAATTAATGAAATTATACATAAGAAATCTGGATTTAACTAATTGGTTAAGAAAAAATGTTGTAAAAGTTCGCCAATTAGGATCCAACATTTCTCCAAATACTTTTAATAATAATCTTCAATTAAAATATGACTTGTCCAACAAAGAGAGATTTACATACTTCAGAATTACTAATTTTCTCAGATTAATACAAATAATTGATCAGTCTCCCCTAGATATGATTCTGTATGGTTCGCAACCTTTAAGATCCTCTAAAATTAGACAGATTACTAATAAACTTACTTTTGAAAATAAAACAAATAACATTGTAAAATGGGAAGAAGACTTAGATACAATTTTCCTTACCATTTATGGTTAGAGTCCTTTGACTGTCTCAGGAAATCAATACATTGTATAAATATCTTAGAAAACCTCTACAAAATTCTAAATAGATGGTACTTAGTCCCTTCTAGATTATGTAAGTACAAGCCCCAATATACAGACCAATGCTTGAGATGTAATAGAGAAATTGGGACTTTAAAACACATATGGTGGGACTGTATTAATTTGGGTCCGATAAAAGATTTTGTGGTATCTCTCTTTAATGATCTAGACTTAAAGATTCTAATATTGACTCCTGAGAATTTTCTATTTCATATGAATACTAATGGTCTAACGAAATCTCAAAAATGCCTAACAATAAACATACTAATGGCAGTTAAGATCTGCCTATCAATATATTGAAAGTCTACAAACATTCCTCAGGTCACTGAAATCTTAATTCAAATTAATCATCAAGAAATTATGGAAAAAGCTTTCTTTTTCAATAACAGTAATATTCCGAAGTATAATAAAATTTGGTCTAAATGGTTCGAATACTATAAAAAGGAAATTTGACCCACAACAAATCTGCTGGGCATAGATAGATAGTTGGAAACACTACAGATGCACCTGCCTCTCTCTGCTCAACCCCAATTATTTGTTGGCCACCTTTCCAACACCCTGCCCCCCTCTTTCTCCCTTGAGCGCACATATTCGATCATCCTCTCTCGGACAAACTTCAATTCACGCTAATTAATTTAGGATGTTGTCTTGTTTATTCTGTATTTTGTTAGTATCTGTAATTTTGATTTTTAACATAGTACATGGAATGTGTGGTCTAAGAATACTGATAAATATAGCGAACCCTTGATATGTTAGATTAAGGGATTTCACTATTTACAGTTTATTTATATTTTATCTTGAAGCTATCAATATTATCTGTCTAAGATATTTATCCCACACATTATTGTATTCTGTCTTTGTCAGAAGCTAAACTAGCGAATTCCTTGAAATCTGATCTTGCAATTATATTTTTTCTGACTATTAGATTTGATTGTATTGTATGTATGCATTTTATTACGTCTTGTTGATGCCAGTGGTTTAATATTGTTCATTTCCTGACTGTATGTCTTGTTTTATTGAAAATTAATAAAAATCATTTAATAATAGAAAAAAAAAAAGTTTCCCAAGCTTTATTGTAAAGTATAAGTTAAAATCATAATCAACGTTTCAGTCCGCCGTTCGGTACTTTCATCAGGATTAAATGTTGATTACAATTTTAACTAATACTTTACAAAAAAGACTGGATTACTTTTAAAGATTGTGAGTGCAGCTGCTTCTATGGATTCTTGTGTATGTGTATATGTATGTGTATGTATGTCCAAACTTTTGAACTCCAACAGTGAAAAAATAAATAAATACCTGGTGCCCAGTCACAAATTCATAAATATCAAGACTTGTGATGTCCTGATGAAAGTTCCCTAGAGAGACTGAAACGTTGATTTGCTGGAATTCGTCAAATAAAGAACCTACCTGAATGAAAACCTTGAAGTGCTGGTATTTTTTGTAGATATCTCTCTCTCTCCCTGTCCCTCTCCCTCTCCCTCATGGAGGTTCTCTGAAAGCTTATCATTAAAAAATTCTGTTATTCCAATAGAAAAGGTATTACAAGATACAAATCTTATCTGTTTTTTACATATGTATATATGTGTGTGTGTGTGTAGATGACAAGTGTTAGCATTACAGGGATTGTATTAATTACAGTATTTGTGAGTGCTTGGGAAATGGATACAGAAATTACAAACACAAAGCAGAGTAGTATTTAATGCAGGAAGAGATGAAATACAGGATTATTGTAATTATTATTAAGGACACATTTAAGATTTCCAGTTATTTTTCAATGAATAATTTTATTGAAGTATTTAAAAGATAAGGTCACATGAGTTACATTAATACTCTAGTGAATTAATTGTTAGAGGTTCGAAATATTGTTACCTCAGAGTATGTTTCACACGAGTGTGCTCTGAGTATATTACACCGATGACATCACAAATGGACACAGAAGTGCTGCAGCGCTAAGTTTGGATTTTACTTCCTTCCACTGCACTTCTCAACCTAGGAAGTACTTCAATTAATTTATTGGGGTCCTGGAATGAGTAATTGTAATTTCTAAATAATGATACCACCAGTAACATCAAGCCATGACTTAATAAAGACAGGACCACTGTCACAACTTTGCCAGGTGTATGGACTGCCCATAAAGGGATCAGGGGTGCTGGATATTCGTACATTTGTAAAATGCTTGGCTGACTTGGTGGCATCAGAGTTTGTGCATCCCTAGAACTTATATATTAGGTAGGTAGGTGCTCTTTCACTTTCTCTTAGATTTTGGACTTCCAGAGAAATGACAATTCTGCTTTACAATGTAAAATTAGACATATATCTTTTTTCACATGTTCTTTATCTTGGCACTAGCCATCAACGTATATTTCTAAAGCATAAATTAGTTTTTAACTAAATATTCTTTTCCCAAATAAAAAAACTAATAGTAGCTTACCTCTTAGCACCTATCAGAAATAAAATATAGAATATTAGGACACATAAATTCCATATCAAGACCAGATTGACATAGACCCTGTTGTTTTTTTGCTCAAAGTAAAGCTTCTATTTTGGCTTTTATCCTTGAGTGCCTGGATCAATATGTATTTTCTATATCAAGGAAGTGAGACCTGGCTGTTCTAAGTTCCTGAGCACCCAGGAAGCCTGGAGAGTGCAGTGTCCATTATCTTTTCTAGAAGTATAGTACCTGAACTAGGGGTTCTCTGCATCCCCAGCAAATCAACATTTCTGAAATAACTCCTACACCTCTGTCCCCTTTCAACTGTCAGTAAGAAATAGTTGCGAATGAACAATGTAGTAATTGTACATAGCTCACTTTTACTAACAAATGTATTCATCCAACTTTGATGCACATTGATCGCACTGAACAGGACAAAAAGTCCTGAAAAGATTAGGGTTACTCACTAAAGTAGCAAATTAAAATCTTTTTCAAATTTTCCTACATTTTTCCATTCACATTTTTCAACCTACAACCTGTCATTTAAAAAAAAAAAAAAAGACAATTATTATTGTGTGTGAAGATTTACTCAGAAAAAAACTTTAGTAGCATACGTGTACTTTGAATCCAATTTTTTTTTTTATCCAATTTTGGTACCTATTTTTTTAGATTTCTAAACCCAAATTTTAGACAAACAAAGTATGCGGAAAGAATATGAATACATTTGTTAAACATTATTTTAATAGATGATATTAATGAGACACTCTTTCTTTTCTTTGTCTTTTATTACTAATTACTATTTGGAGGGAGTCTCCTGTAATTATTGCAATGGTATAACCATTAACATTAGGAACTTTAAACATAAGTATGTAAGTAATTTTATTTTAGTGATTTATATAAATATAAATATAATTTTTTTTTGCATTTTATGTCATGCATTTTTTATATAATGCATTTAAAAATAGGGGTTCATTTACCCTATTGTTAGATATTTTTCTTTTTGACAGCCCTAATAAAACATAGATGATCATAAGCTACCACCTCATTGCCTATTTTACTTTTCCGTACCTCACATCGCTCAATCGCAAGACCTGCATCTTCCAGAGCTTCTTTTATAAACTTTTCATCACACCCTAAAACATGGTACTTTTCCTCACCAACAGTGAAAAATGCACCATTATAACCACCAAATAATAATAGGCGTCCTCCTAGTTTTAGCATGGAAGCTATTTGTTTCATGTTAGAGCGGTAAACATCATGATCTTCACTAACCATATGTGTTACATAAAGGCTCAACACACAATCAGCTTTTGGTAACACAGCAGGGTCCGTAGGGTTGGCTTTGCTGAAATCACATTTTAAGATGCGTTTGATCCTTCTACGTAGGTCATTTTCCTTTTCTTTAAAACGATCACTAAAAAGATTGAAAATTCAGTTATTACAGTAAATGCATTGCATTCTATCACAGTTGCGTAGAACCCCTACACACAGTATGTAAACCCACAGAAAACCTAATAACCTATTAGTGAACCTTAGAATGGTTGGCCTTAACATAGTAGTCACAGAATAGCCAAAGAAGTCAGAATGCCAGAGATCAGGAGAGCGATACAGGAATAGCCAGGTCAGCGTACCAGAAAGGACAGAAGTCAAGATACAAGCCGAGTCAGGAAACCAGAGAACAGAATAGTCAATAGTGAAAATATGCCAAATAATCACTGAGAGAAAATAAGTAGCACTATAGGGAAAACTAAGAACCACAATAGGGCAAAGAACAAAGCAAAAGACAGCCTTTTTAGAAGGGAGAGTCTTTTGCTTTAAGGCAACAACCCGAAAATGTTCTGGCCCTGTGAAAATGACCCGGCCTACATCATCGACGTAATTACGTGTGCATCGTGTCATAGGAAGGGGAGTTATTGCCAGCGTGGGACATGCTGACCTGACTGTGAGAGGAATCGGCATCGCGTGCTAGTGGGGCTGGACTATTGGAAGCCAGGAACCCTCTTTCAAGATTAATCTGCTGGGAAATGGTTCAACACTGAATGTAGGGACAGTGCCAGGAGACTCCAGTCACCATAACCAAATCAATGAGATGAAATGGTTATAGTGCCTGCACTGTCCCTTTAAGAAGAATTTTATCTCTCAACAAAAATATAAATCACAGCATGTACACTGTGAGATACTTACAGATCGTAGCAAGCTGAAATCTCAATGACAACATTTAGACTAAAATAGCCATACTGTGTCTATAGCTGGGTTTAAGAATCTTTCCAGTTCAGCTACACTGAACAAAATTATAAACATAACACTTTTTGTTTTTGCCCCCATTTTTCACGAGTTGAACTCAAAGATCTAAGACTTTTTCTATGTACACAAAAGGCCTATTTCTCTCAAATATTGTTCACAAATCTGTCTAAATCTGTGTTAGTGAGCACTTATCCTTTGCCAAGATAATCCATCAACCTCACAGGTGTGGCATATCAAGATGCTGATTAGACAGCATGATTACTGCACAGGTGTGCCTTAGGCTGGCCACAATAAAAGGCCACTCTAAAATGTACAGACAGACAAAGATTTACACTTGGATACCTACAGGGTTATTGACAAACGTGAGAATTTAAGGTGAATTTCAATTTTAAGGTCAAATAGCCAAACAGGAAAAAAAATCTCTGTCTCTATACTTTCAGTTTGGCTACTTTGGCCTAAAACTTGTAATTCACTTTGAACTCTCAGTTTGCTAAATAACCTGTTATAACCAGAAACTATCCTTTTGTTGAGAATCAAACCTGTGTCATCTATTGCCCCATCATTTATTAGCAAGTCTATACCACACAGTACCACGACTCAAAGCACCATAACTACTTCAGCATGCAGAATTAGTAACAGTGCCATGAATGTCCAGTCACCCTCGCAGAGTAGGTGTAATAACTAGAGTAGAAACCTCTCCTGCTGCTAGAAGCCCCTGCAACTGTGATAAACTATTTGGCTGAGAGCAACAACTGACAGGGCTTGGCGCAGTGGAGCTAATTAGAAGCTCTTTGCAGGAGCTTCCAGCAGCAAGGAATTTGGCAGAGGATGCTGGCAGTCCTGGCACCTCTACTACAGTGGGCATGGTAGTTATGCTGCTTAGAGGGTTCCTTTAAAAATACACGCTAAACACCAAAACCACTACAGCTTAATGTAGTGGTCTTGGTACGTAAATGATCTCCCTGTTCTGAGACAGCTGTAAGCATTGCCATTTGTAAGAAACAGCACTATTTATATTTCACAGTCTGTGTGCCTCTAATGGTTGTCAGAGAGCCCCAAGAAGCATGTGTTAGTAAAAACTGTAAATAAATACCAGTCTTCACAGTTGTTGTCATGGCAATGTCGTATGAAGTTAAGTCTTCCCATAAAGAAGCATTATAATATTCTTGGATGAAGAAAGTCCGCTTGGTGCGATTGTATAGAGAAAATAGTATTGTACATATGAATCAGATCTCATCATTCCAAAGACTAATGCTATTTGCTATCAAACAACAACTGTCATATTAAAATGTCACCTGTTGCCGTCAGATTCCATTACATATTTGGACAGGAAAGACCAATCAAACGCATCTTCATGGCCGTTCACCCACTTCTGCACATCGTTGACGCATACATCACTGAATTCTAAAATAGAGATCTCCTTGAAGAATTCAAAAATTAGGAACATCTGGATTACACTTGGACCCACTGAGATGTCAATCAAGTGGTCCCCACCAATGAGACCTGGTAAAAGGAACATTAAATAATATTACAACACCTATATCATTTTTAGTTTGCATGTCAATCCTTTAAAGTAACACTCCAGGGACCATAACTATTGTATCCTCATTAAGTGGTTATGGTTCCAGGAAGTCTTAATTCCTCTTCAATTTTTCTAAAGAGGCTCTTAAATTAACCTTCAACTATGTGTAAAAATATGTAAAAATGTGCTGTAATGATTGTCTTTACATATGACTAACATAGTTACAGAGCTGAAAAGAGACTTGCGTCCTCACATATGCTTTTGCTGTTGATCCAAAAACTTCTGTACTTTCATGCTCTATATCCATTCCTTTTTTCGTTAATAAAATCCTAGAAACAGAAATCTGTTGCTAAACATTATTAAATAAGATATTAACATACCGTCCTTAGCTTCCTTAAAAAGCTCTTCAACTGGAAATTTTAAAACCTCATCCAACATCAAAGCATCAGATGTTGCAGATAAATATATTTCAGCAAACCTTTTTGAATCTATATCATGCAGATGATAGTGTTTATGGGTGGATGAAGTCATTCTTGGTCTCTGAATGATCAAGTTAGATGCACCAGAAATGCTGTGATTACAGCTTGAGGTACAGTTTATAAATACCTGATAAGTCCACAAGCAAAATAATTCTATGTCATGTGTGTTTTTATTGTTTTCTTTTTCATATTGGAGATTACTGCTGTTTTATTTACTCTAATTTGAGGCAAATTTGTTTTGTATACCACACTATCTGGTTTGATCCAAAATAAGGCTAATGACAGGAGATGAAGGACATGTGATTGTATGTTTTTCAGTCTTCTAATTTATATGCATGTAAAAAAGATGTGTGTGTGAGTTCTTTAGTGCACATTTAGATACTTTAACAGAATCAAGTTAAAACCTAGGGGAATTTTAATTTAATTGATGTCTGTTTTATCTCCCTCATAGATCAAGTTAAAAGGATCCTACTATTCCAAACTATCCCATACACACCAGTAATATGTAACATATGTAAAACCAATCTGAATACTATGTACACCAATATTAAGTAACTTCTAAAATCATGGGGCATGATCATTTCGCACAGCCAGGGAACTACAGGGACCCGCCTCAACAGGTCAAAGCTCTGAGAGAAGCGAGGAGACGCTGAAAGCAGCTGGCGCCTCTGAGAGATCGAAGAAAGTTTTAACAAATTCACTCTGAGAACCTGCTGTACCTGAGGTCTGACTGTCCACGAGTCAAGGATAAGAGGAGAAGGAAAAAGGTGTGTGGCTTCGTACAATACTTTGCTTAACTGAGTATTCGCTGAATTGAAAGATCTACAGACAACTGAATGAGCAGTAACCCTTGAGGGTTAAAAACATTTTTTTTTTCATAAGCAATATATGCTAACTACAGTGAATTAATAATTTTGCAAAGAGTCTAGTTAACAGGGGTAAAATAAGCTACTGTACAAATAGGGAAATAGTGAGTTCTCAAACAGTGAAAGCACATATTGCAATTTAAATAGCATAGGCAAAATAATGTAGCCCATGGATTAGCACAGCTAGGGGAGTGGGCCTTGACATAGCCAGGAGGTAGGCATAACTGCTGAAGGAAGTTGAGTGACAGCTAGTAAGCTGGCGAGTGGAGCTACAATGGGAGAAGTTATACCGGCCATTTTGTGAAGTGGTCATCTTAACTAAACCTAAACTTACCTGTTAGTTGTCTCAGGTTTGGGTAGGTTTTTTTTCATTTTTTTCAGGTGTTCATGTGGCGGTGAGGGAGCGTGGAGTTGCTTTCTGCAGGAGCGGTTGGCATCCCCTGTGCCTTCTGGTGGGCCGGTGGTGGATCCGGAGCGAGTACAGGGAGCGCCGCTCTAGGATGAGGGATAGCAAGTCACTGGGTGTCCCAGGCCAGGCTACTTCTCGGGATCATTCCATGGATAGGACCAGGCGCAGCGAGGATAGACGGCCCACGGTCGTTCACCGCAGCGGAGACAGGAGCCCTTCTGTCAGGCATTACAGTAGGGGGTGTTCAACGGTGCAGGGCTTCAAGGTCGCCTAGTAGGAGTTATCAGAAGGGTAGGCTTACCTCGTATGCCCAATTTGGCCAGGCAGCCAAACTTTGTGAGGAAAAGGAAGGTGGTCGGGAACATGGGAAGGGCTCCTATGAGCAGACTACCCAGGTTGTCTTCTTCCTGCAGGTCAGCAACTCTTTCTCCTACGGTCCTGAGGCGGGACCAGATGGCCAGATGCAGAATCTATAACGCCACTCCTGAACCTCTCAAGGTGGATGGAAGGACAGCAGCCCCGCGGTCGGCTACGGCAGGGGTTCTGACAGTCAGTCTTCTTCTGTACTACACTCCGGGAATCTCTTAGATAGCTTGAGGGCCTTTCTTAACACTTGGGCTGGTGTGGATACACAGGAGGCACATTTTAGTTGGATGTGGGGTCCACCGGCAGGCGGGAGAGGGGAGGCTATGACGTTTCCGGTGGCTGGGGCAGGCAATGTTTAGGGTGGGACTACAGTGACTTCACTCGGGTCAGGGACATCGGCAGTGGTCAGCGAGCGTGTGGAGTTGACTGGTGAGATCCCTGAGGTAGCCAGGCAGAATGTACACGTGTCATTCATTGGGCCTTTGGGTTGTCATCTAAAATCGGAAGTGAAGGAAAAGATTTGGCAGAGTGAATTCCTCGAGATCTTCTTGCTTCTTCCTTTGGATGAATATCTTGATCTGAAAGAGGAAGATAAGAAAGAGGAGGAGGAAAAGAGGCGAGGGTATCGGAAGATACCCAAGTCTTTTGGGATTTGGCTTCAGGTATTCTGCATTTTGACTAGTGTTTTGGGAGAGAAATTTCCGAGCGATGTTCTCAGCTTTTCTGCTATTTGGATGGGATCTGGGAGGCTTATTGTACTTATGGAGGTTTAGCGTGGTGAAAATATGACCAGCAGTTCCACCAAAGGTTGTCGGTGAATCCCAGGATGCGGTGGGACCAGATGGACGTACCTCTATGGATGAAACTGATGAATGCCCAGAAAGCTGTACCCTTTCAGGGTGGGGCCGGCGTTGGATCAACCTCCTCTTCGTCGGCCAGTCAAAATAAAGGGTTCTGTTGAACGTTTAATGAAGGATGCTGCAAGTAGGGTGCCTTGTGTAAGTTTAAGCACAAATGTTTGGGCTGTGGGGGGGCCCACGGCCCAACAGGTGCTTCAAGTGGGGAAAGTCTGCATCTGCCGGCAGAACCGGGGGTGCAGTGGCGCCATCCACTTCCACTGGGGGCAACCCCAGTGAATGTCGGCATGATGGTGCCTTGGCTAAGCCGTTACGGTAACCAGGGTGACGCGCAGTTATTGTAGGATGGGTTTTTAAGAGAGTTTGTTATTCCTTTTAAGGAAAGGGTTTTGAGTCAATTGAGTGACAACTTGAAGTCGGTCGCAGAGCATCCGGAGGTGGTTCTATAAATTGGCTAAAGAGGTTCAGCTGGTTAGGATAGCAGGGCCGTTCTAACAGCCTCCATTGGCAGGCTTGCAGATTTCACTTTTGGGCATGGTGCCTAAGAAAGAACTGAGTAAGTTCCACCTGATCCATCACTTGTCATATCCGAAAGGTTCTTCGGTGAATGATGACATTGATGCGGTCCTGTGTTCTGTCTCCTACGCATTATTTGACTAGGAGAAACAAGGAGTGCAGCTGGACTTTCCTCTGGAGTTGGTGACACTGGAGTTGTTTGGTTTTTGGAGTTTTGGTTGGCAAGGCATTAGTGGGGAAATTTTCCGGAAGGTGGCAAGGGGCACCAATGCTAGAGGTAATGATCTGGGCATGGTCCCAAAAAAGGAATTGGTCAGATGGATGAAGAGGAATGTGAACTGGCTATGAGAGCTAGCTCCAGGTGTGGTGGTGGTGTGGTCCGAGATGGTTCCTCGGTTTCACTGGCGACATGCCAAGGATCCGACTGTGGTGGCATGATTCCGTGGTGTTGGGGACAAATCAATAAAATGATGGAGGTTTTTATAAGGCATTTAGGTGGAGTAGCAGTGAGGCACAGGGGAAGGCATGCTTCCTGGTTACTTCAGGAGGGATGGTTTACATCTTTTGGATGTGTGGTGTGACCCTTTTTATTTTCAGCCTTGAGGAAGGCCTTCAACAGGCCTTGTTTATGTGTGGTGGGGGCGCTCAGGAGCTTTAAGTGTCAAGTCCTGAGCTATAGTGGGGCATGGCAAGGTTAAATTGGGGGGGTAGATAGAGGTGGAAGTGGGCATCCTGAGGTTTAGTGTGGATTAGGCTGTGTTACACTTGGTTTGTAGATTCGAGCCCGTCGGTGGCTCCAAACCTAGGGCTGTAGCGATGTCTTGGTACACCCCTGCAATTGAACTTGTGGGTAGCAGTGTCATGGTACATCCCTACAATTTCATCTGTTGGAAATGTGGTCATATTGGACTGCCAGTTTCTGTGTTAATATGTTAATTGATTGATATTGTGGGGTTATTGCCAGGGGTATGTTATGTATATGTGGGGATGTTGGCTTTAATAATATTTGTTAGCAATGGCCCTAGTTGTTATTTCTTAATTAATTAATTATTAATAAAGCTGTCGACTAATATTTCCAACAGTATAACCTGTGTCAGTGTCTTAATGGGGTTCAGGGTAAGGTTAGCCGGTAAATACGAATGCCGATAAATACGACTGTGCGTCTGTTATGCCAAACTATAACTATATAAATGCACTCAAAGCCTCTTACTAACCCTCTTACTAACCCAAAGCATCTTAGGAGGAAATTTTATTTGCTAAGATACATAGAATTTCAACTATAAAAACAATGAAAAACAACACAAATGTTAATGAGTCAGTACAATTACTAAAATTGTTAAAAAATAATACATTTTTAGATCTATGGAGAATATATAATCCAACAGAGAAAGATTTAATTTGTTACTCTGAGACAAATTACTCTTACTCCAGAACAGATCTTTTCCTGGTTATGATAATCCTGACCAAAAATATTAAAAGGATAGAAATAAGGGAAACAACATGGTTAGACCATAATGTAGTAATTTTAGAATTAAAATAGAATACACATAATGGTAAAAGAACTAATTGGCATTTAAAGAAAAAATATATATACCAGTAAGGAAAAAACCTTGTGACACAGAGAATAAATATAAATATAAATACAAACGTATATACTGAATATGAATATCACAGGATACCTAAAAAACAGAAAATACACAACATAGTGTGAACTGTTTAAAAACATATTATGAAGAGATGGGGTAGGAGTTCCACTCACATGACTTAGAGCCATTCCAGGCTCTGTATTTTGGGATCTTATGTGCCACAAAGGGCGATATGATCCAAATCCCCAAGACTTCCAAAGAACTGTATGATAGAATATGGGTAGAGGAGTCATTATCAGACTGGAGCAATTTAAATGGAGTCCAAGAGAAATGGGATTATTTAAAAGTTGCACTATTGAAGGCAACAAAAAAATTGCATTAGGCTTGTCAGTAAAAGCAAAAAATTCAAGAAACCACTGTTGTACTCCGCAGATGTGGCCAAAATAGTTAAAAAAAAAAGTTAGCATTTAGGAATTATAAAAAAAAAACAGAGCGAGGAAGACAAAATGATCTATAAGATTAGACAGAAAGAGGCTAAGCAAGTTATAAGAGCTTCCAAATCACACACAAAAGAGAAAATAGCACAGTCAGTAAAAAAGGGGGATAAAACATTTTTTAGATACATAAATGAGAAAAGAAAAGTAAAACAAGGATTAGTTAGATTAAAAACAAAAGAAGGAAGGTATGTAGAAGAGGATAAAGGTGTAGCTGACTGCCTCAATGAATATTTTTGTTCTGTATTTACAGATGAAAATGAAGGAAAGGGACCTCAGTTGAGAAAAAGGATAAATGAGTCATTTATTACACGTGAGTTTACAGAGGAAGAGGTTATATTTCAACTGTCAAAAGTAAAGACAAATAAGTCAATGGGACCTGATGGAATACACCCAAATCTATTAAAAGAGCTTAGTGGTGTACTAGCAAAACCATTAACAGATTTATTTAACCAATCATTATTAACAGGAGTAGTCCAGGAAGATTGGAAGTTAGAGAATGTTGTGCCCATTTACAAGAAAGGTAATAGGGAGGAGTCGGGCAACTATAGGCCAGTAAGCCTTACTTCAGTAGTGGGGAAAGTGATGGAAACCATGTTAAAGGATAGGATTGATGAACATCTAAAAACACATGGATTTCAAGATCAGAGACAACATGGGTTTACTTCAGGGAGATCATGCCAAACTAATCTTATTGATTTTTTTGATTGGGTAACTAAAATTATAGATCAGGGTGGTGCAGTAGACATTGCTTACCTAGATTTCAGTAAGGCTTTTGACACTGTTGCACATAGAAGGCTTATCAATAAACTGCAATCTTTAAGTTTGGATTCCAATATTGTTGAATGGGTAAGGCAGTGGCTGAGTGACAGGCAACAGAGGGTTGTAGTTAATGGAATATATTCGAAGCTTGGACTTGTCACCAGTGGGGTACCTCAGGGATCTGTACTTGGACCCATTTTCTTTAATATTTTTATTAGTGATATTGCAGAAGGTCTTGATGGTAAGGTATGTCTTTTTGCTGATGATACTAAGATATGTAACAGGGTTGATGTTCCAGGAGGGATAAGCCAAATGACAAATGATTTAGGTAAACTAGAAAAATGGTCAGAATTGTGGCAACTGACATTTAATGTGGATAAGTGCAAGATAATGCATCTTGGACGTAAAAACCCAAGGGCAGAGTACAGAATATTTGATAGAGTCCTAACCTCAACATATGAGGAAAGGGATTTAGGGGTGATTATTTCTGATGACTTAAAGGTAGGCAGACAATGTAATAGAGCAGCAGGAAATGCTAGCAGAATGCTTGGTTGTATAGGGAGAGGTATTAGCAGTAGAAAGAGGGAAGTGCTCATGCCATTGTACAGAACACTGGTGAGACCTCACTTGGAGTATTGTACACAGTACTGGAGACCGTATCTTCAGAAGGATATTGATACCTTAGAGAGGGTTCAGAGAAGGGCTACTAAACTGGTTCATGGATTGCGGGATAAAACTTACCAGGAAAGGTTAAAGGATCTTAACATGTATAGCTTGGAGGAAAGACGAGACAGGGGGGATATGATAGAAACATTTAAATATATAAAGGGAATCAACACAGTAAAGGAGGAGACTATATTTAAAAGAAGAAAAACTACCACAACAAGAGGACATAGTCTTAAATTAGAGGGACAAAGGTTTAAAAATAATATCAGGAAGTATTACTTTACTGAGAGGGTAGTGGATGCATGGAATAGTCTTCCAGCTGAAGTGGTAGATGTTAACACAGTAAAGGAGTTTAAGCATGCGTGGGATAGGCATAAGGCTATCCTAACTATAAGATAAGACTAGGGACTAATGAAAGTATTTAGAAAATTGGGCAGACTAGATGGGCCGAATGGTTCTTATCTGCCGTCACATTCTATGTTTCTATGTTTCTATGTTCTATGATGGATCCTCAATATTTTCCAAATACAATTTATTGAGTATTAAAACAACCAAACAATATACTTACATTTGTGTACTAAAAATAGAATGGTAGTGAGGTAAATTAAATACACAAATGGTTACACTTACCACATATTAGTAACCCAAAGAAAAAAAATATAAAGTGCAAGTATAAAGAACAGACAGCAAACGCGTTTCGGCGATGGTATCCATCTACAGTTCATTTGTTTAATCTGTTTCCTATTTCCTGTATTCACGATCAACCGCAACGTCATTTCCAGTACGTCCTGATGATGTCGCAGTCTCGTGAAACGCACTGTGGAATGCACCGTCCAAAGGCCATTTTTTATGACATCATATAGATCGATTTCCCAATCTCTCCTCCTGCACTCACAGTCTTTGTGTAGATATTTTGAAATGTCTCAAAACTCCATATTACTTATGGGAGTCCATTAGAAATCAATGGGAAAAAAGGACAAATCCATTTAATATGAAAAAAACAACATATTATATACCCTATTCCTTATTAGGGAAAGAAAAGTGAGAAATATAATATATATTAAATTAAAAAGGCATAAATATAATAATAAATAATTTTATAATGCACAAGATATATAGAATATGTTGATAAGACAAAAGCAGTGGAGAAAATATATGAAAATAAATAAAAGAAACTGCTAATATATAAAAGATGTATAAAAATATATTTAAAAAATTGTAGTCTATAAAAATATATATATGACATTATTCTAATTTAGGTTCCCCACTCACCGCTCAGAGGTGGGGGTTAGGGGAGAGGACATTAGGTCACCCCCCTTTTTGGTATTTTGGGCCCCCATCCACCGCTCAGAGGTGGGGGCCATAGGGGGAGGACATTAGGTCCCCCACATTATTTTACTTTAGGGCACCCACCCACCGCTCAGGTGTGGGGGCCGGGGAGGGCAATAGGTCCCCCTTCAGGTTAGAAGCCTGCACTCGCGCAGCACAGGTGGGGGCTCGGGAGGGGGGTGTGTTTTTTTTGGGTGGGGGGTTTACAGTGAGCAGCCACAGGCGGTATAGCGAGTAGGGGCATAATTTACTAATATTAAATAATCTTTACTAAGTATTAGTAAATGTGGATGAAAGACCAATTTAGGTCTTTCAGCCTTTTAGTATATAGCTCCCTAATATCGTGGGAATTAAGTAGTTATCTACTTATTCATTCCTGTCATTCCATTGACAGGCTAAGTAACTAACATTTTATATGAATGTATGTTACTTGATTGTTGTAAGCATTGCAAATGCTTACAGCTAAATCCTGGCTATGTGTCAGGAAACTGACAGGGATCCAATACGCAGAGTGCGCACAGAAGGAGGTACGTATACCGGACCTTAGAATGGCCGGACTAACGTAAGGACAAGCAAGAATAGTCAAAAGGTAAGCCGAGGTCAAGGGAGCCGGAGGACAGGTAAGCGAGATACAAGCCGAGTCAAAGGAGAGGAGAGGACAACAGGACAAAAGACAAGCAAGGGTCAAAACCGGAAACACAAGATAAAGAACGCGCTGAGTGACTAGCAAGCTAGAACCACGACAGGGCAATGAGCAGTAGTAAAGGTTTCCTTTAAATACCCTGTACCTAAATAGAGACCACGCCCCCAAAAGGTCCGGAATAGCGGTTCCCGGCACTTTATGCAAATGCCGACGTCATGACGTCGACGCTAGCCGTCGCGTCATAAAAGGGGGAGGAGCTAGCGCGGCCGGCGCGAAAACGGCCGGAATATGCCGAAATGCTAAGGGAAGGGAGCCCCTAAGCAGAGAGGATGTCCTCCCTGGATACATCACCAACAGGTACCCTGACAGTACCCCCCCTTCTAGAAACGCCCACCGGGCGGATGGGACCTGGCTTAGAAGGAAAACGAACGTGGAAGGCCCGAAGAAGACGAGGAGCATGCACGTCTATACCAGGAACCCAAGACCTCTCTTCTGGACCATAACCTTTCCAGTCTATGAGGTATTGCAGCTTCCCCCTAGAAATACGAGAATCAAGGATGGACTTGATGATATATTCCTCCTGACCATCCACACGGACCGAGGATGGAGGAGCAGAGCGGGAGGAAAATCTGTTACAAACAAGAGGTTTCAATAACGACACATGAAAAGAGTTAGGGATGCGTAGAGTAGGAGGTAGATCCAGCAAATAAGAAACCGGGTTGATCCTCCTCAGTACCCTGTAAGGACCAATGTAACGAGGAGCAAACTTCAAGGAAGGAACTTTCAGGCGAATGTGTCTGGTACACAACCAGACCCTATCCCCCGGAGAAAAAATAGGAGCAGGACGTCTACGCCTATCAGCATGTGACTTAAACACCGCGGAACTACGTTCAAGAATTTGTCGAGTCTGATCCCACAACTTTCTCAGGTTGGCTATATGAATATCAACCGACGGTATACCCTGGGAAGGAGACACCGACGGAAGAACAGTAGGGTTAAAGCCATAGTTCAAGAAAAAGGGGCTGTTACGAGTGGAACCACAAACAAGGTTGTTGTGAGCAAACTCCGCCCAAGGAATCAGACCGACCCAGTCATCCTGGTGTTCAGAAACAAAACAACGTAGATATTGCTCAATTTTTTGGTTAGTGCGTTCGGCTGCTCCGTTAGATTGGGGATGATAGGCCGAAGAAAAATTCAGTTTGATGCCCAACTGTGAACAGAAGGATCTCCAAAAACGGGAAATAAATTGGGAACCCCTGTCTGACACAATCTCATTGGGAATACCATGTAAACGGAAAATTTCTCTAGCAAATATCACGGCCAGTTCGGGAGAGGACGGAAGTTTAGGCAAGGGAACGAAATGAGCCATTTTAGTAAACCTGTCAAGGACCGTGAGGATAACTGTATGCCTATTGGAAGCTGGTAGATCAACAATAAAATCCATAGCCAAACAAGCCCAAGGTTTGTTGGGAACGACTAAGGGCTGCAATAAACCACAAGGGAGATCCCGCGGAAGTTTATTCCTGACACAAACATTGCAAGCCTTGACAAAGTCTTCCACATCCCTACGTAAACCGGGCCACCAGAAGTCTTTGGAGATCAGGCAGTAAGTTTTGTGGATGCCGGGGTGACCAGCGATCTTGCTATCGTGGAAACAGCGAATAATGTCCACTTGGAATTTGGGAGACACGAACAAGCGGCCCACAGGAGTACGTTCGGGAGCAAGAGATTGTTCGTTCTGAATATCAGCGAGCAATGGAGAGTGTATTTTGACATTGGTGTTGGCGATAATATTGATTTCAGGAATAATAGGGAACAAAGTATCCTCTGTAGAGGTGGTAGGTTCGTGCTGACGTGACAAAGCGTCTGCCTTAGTGTTCTTAGAACCAGGCCTGTAAGTAAGCACATAATTAAAGTGTGTAAGGAACATAGACCAACGTGCCTGCCTGGCAGATAATCTTTTGGCCTCCCCCATATACGATAAATTCTTGTGGTCAGTCAAGATAGTAACTGGGAGGACGGTGCCCTCTAACAAATGTCTCCATTCCTTTAATGCCATAATGATAGCTAAAAGTTCTCTATCACCAATGTCATATCTCCTTTCAGTGTGTGATAGTTTCTTGGAAAAAAAACCGCAAGGGTGCAGCGGCTTATCTAAACTTTGTCTTTGGGATAACACTGCGCCTATCCCTGTTTCAGACGCATCAACTTCAAGTAAAAAGGGTAGAGAGGTATCAGGATGAACTAATACAGGTGCTGAGGCAAAAGACTGTTTGAGCGTTTCGAAAGCAGATAAAGCCTCAGTAGACCAGGTTTTGGTATCGGCTCCTTGTTTGGTCATATTAGTGATAGGAGCGATAACAGAGGAGTACCCTTTAATAAAACGTCTGTAATAATTAGAAAATCCAAGAAATCTTTGTATGGCTTTGAGTCCCTTAGGTAAAGGCCAATCTAAAATCGATTTTAGTTTGGTCGGGTCCATCATAAACCCGTCTTTGGAAATTACGTAACCTAAGAAAGTTACCTGAGACTGGTCAAAGCTACATTTTTCCAATTTACAATACAATCCATGTTGTAAAAGTTTCTGTAATACCTTTCTGACTTGTCTATGATGTGAATTAATGTCTCTAGAATGGATTAATATATCATCCAAATATACAATTACACATTCATGTTGGAATTCTCTAAGAACTTCATTGATCAAGTCTTGGAAGACGGCCGGGGCGTTACAAAGCCCAAACGGCATTACGGTATACTCATAATGCCCGTAACGGGTATTAAATGCTGTCATCCATTCATCTCCTTGTTTAATTCGCACTAAGTTATATGCTCCTCTTAAGTCAAGTTTAGTAAAAATACTCGAGCCCTTTAGTCTGTCAAAGAGTTCAGTAATCAAAGGAATAGGGTAAGCATTTCTGATAGTAATTTTGTTCAATCCCCGATAGTCTATACAAGGGCGTAAGGTACCGTCTTTCTTTTCTACAAAAAAGAAACCCGCCCCCGCCGGAGAAGAAGACTTTCTAATAAATCCCTTGTCTAAATTCTCCTTGATATATTCCTCTAAAACTAAGTTTTCCTTGGTGGATAGAGGGTATACCGTACCCCTGGGAGGCATAGTACCAGGGAAAAGTTTAATAGAACAGTCATAAGACCGGTGGGGAGGTAAAGTATCCGCCTTACCCTTGTCAAATACAGATTTGAGGTCTAGATATTGTAATGGTATCTGAACGTCTGTGGATTGAGAAGTGTTAGCATAAGAGTTCACGGGGCAAACAGAAGTAACTCTCTGCAGACATTCCTTCCTACAACCCATACCCCAAGAAACGATTTCTCCACCCTCCCAGTCAATCTGAGGGTTGTGTCTCTTGAGCCAAGAATATCCTAGAACCACTGGGACTGCCGGGGAGGAAATTAACAGAAGGGAAATCAACTCTTCGTGGAAAATACCAACAGTAAGCTTAACGGGTTCGGTCTCATGGAATATTACTGGTTCAGATAAAGGTCTACCATCTATGGCCTCAACGGCCAAGGGTGTATCTCTCAATTGGAATGGGATACAATGCTTATTAGCGAAAGTTTGGTCTATAAAGCTTTCTGCTGCTCCAGAATCTAATAATGCCATCGTAGCAATAAACCCCTTTTCCCAAGCTAGAGAGACAGGAATCAGAAGCCTATGGTCTTTTTTATTATGCATAGAGGACAGTAATGAAACACCCAAGGCCCGTCCTCTAAGGGAACTTAGGTGCGAGCGTTTCCCGGACGATTTGGGCAACTAAGACGTAAGTGGCCTCTCAGCCCGCAGTATAAACAGAGACCCTCCCTTCTCCTGTACTGTCTCTCAGCCTCAGATAAGCGAGTATTACCTATTTGCATAGGTTCTGGTGGAGTAGGATTATAGGAGTCAGGGTTCTGAAATGAGGGAGCGAGTCTTACAGGAAGTCTAGTAACTCTTTCCCGAGTGTTCTGCCTCTGTCTCATGCGTTCATCTATTCTGGAAATGAAGGATATTAAATCCTCTAAATTTTCCGGAAGTTCTCTTGTGGCAATTTCATCTAAAATTTCATCAGACAACCCATTCAAGAAAACATCCATAAAAGCTTGTTCGTTCCATTTCACTTCTGCTGCCAATGATCTAAACTCTAGAGCATATTCTACAAGGGTCCTATCTTGTTGTTTAAGGCGTAACAGGGATCTGGCCGCATTAATCTTCCTCCCTGGGGGGTCAAAGGTTCTTCTAAAAGCCGTGACAAATGCAGTGTAGTTGTAGACTAAAGGATTGTCATTCTCCCAAAGGGGATTGGCCCATCTAAGTGCTTTATCTATTAGCAGGGTTATAATAAAGCCTACCTTAGCCCTGTCAGTGGGGTAAGCCGGGGTTGTAGTTCGAAATGTATACTTATCTGGTTTAAAAAACCACGACAAGCATCAGGCGAACCCCCATATCGTAATGGTGACGTGACATGGGAAGATGCGCCTACAGTGGCTACTTCCAAACCAGTACTTAGCGAGTGGCTAGCAGTGGAACGTATTTCTTCAGACTGGGTACTGGAGCGTGTCAACAAAGTTTGTAGCGCTAAAGCCATTTGGTCCATTCTATGGTCCATGGCCTCAAATCTGGGGTCAGGAGGACTAGCACCTGCAGGATCCATCTGGCCCTGTCGTAATGTCAGGAAACTGACAGGGATCCAATACGCAGAGTGCGCACAGAAGGAGGTACGTATACCGGACCTTAGAATGGCCGGACTAACGTAAGGACAAGCAAGAATAGTCAAAAGGTAAGCCGAGGTCAAGGGAGCCGGAGGACAGGTAAGCGAGATACAAGCCGAGTCAAAGGAGAGGAGAGGACAACAGGACAAAAGACAAGCAAGGGTCAAAACCGGAAACACAAGATAAAGAACGCGCTGAGTGACTAGCAAGCTAGAACCACGACAGGGCAATGAGCAGTAGTAAAGGTTTCCTTTAAATACCCTGTACCTAAATAGAGACCACGCCCCCAAAAGGTCCGGAATAGCGGTTCCCGGCACTTTATGCAAATGCCGACGTCATGACGTCGACGCTAGCCGTCGCGTCATAAAAGGGGGAGGAGCTAGCGCGGCCGGCGCGAAAACGGCCGGAATATGCCGAAATGCTAAGGGAAGGGAGCCCCTAAGCAGAGAGGATGTCCTCCCTGGATACATCACCAACAGGTACCCTGACACTATGTTTGTATACTATTTATTTAAACTTGTATACAGTGTAACATTCTTCATTCTTCCACTGGGTAAGTATATTAGTAATTAGGCAATACTGTGCTTCAGTACTTCGGAACTTTGACACTTCAGAACTTTGTCACTTCGGAACTTCGACACTTCGCAAATTCTGCAATTTTGGAACTTCACTACTTCGGCAATTCAGGTATTCGGACATTCGGAAATCCGAATGTCCGAATTGCCCGAAATTCGTCCGAATTCACATTTGGACCAAAACGAATTGCACATGTCTATTATTATTGTGCTTTTTAACAAAGTGAGCTGAGACATTATGTTTCATATACCCCCACTTAATATTACCCACATGTTCTGCTATTGTCACCCCTATATATTGCAGTCTATATGGGCACCAGAGGAGGTATATGACATTAGAAGATTGGCAAGTGAGAACTTGTTTGATCTTAAAAGTCTTATTTGTAGAAGAAGAAAAAAACCAAATATGTGTATTTCTGTCTTTTAAAAGATTTTTTTTACATGCTTAACATGATCTACATGGGTAAAAACCTTTCTCTAAACCAAAGTGGTCTTTTGCGTTATCTTCTTTAATATAACTTGCCATTAACATTTGCTTTAAGCTCTTAGTCCCTCTATAGATTATATGTGGTCTTTCTCCATTTGTTTTTTTTTTTAAACGTATCACTTTTTAAAATATACCAATATTTATTTATAATGTTTATAATTTGTTTAAAATCTTCATTATAATCTAAAATGAAAGGAATATTTTTCTCTCCAGTCTCATGATTAACCTTTTTCTGTTTTAAAGGTTTATTAAAAAATACTTTTCTGTCAGTTAGCTTGATGTCCTTTATGCATTCATCAATATTCCCTGTATCATACTTTTTTTCTATTAACCTGTATTTTAGGAATAAAGAATGTTCTGATGCCAGGGGCTGTAATGGCAACTTGATGTATCGATATATCCATTAACATTTACCTTTTTAAAGTGAGTATTCATTTTAATGTTATTCTGGTCTCTATATATTTCTAAATCTAAAAAGTGTATATTATCTTTACTGAACTCGTTTGTCAGATTTATACCCACATTATTCCAATTTAAATATTTTAAAAATTATTTTAGAGACTCTTCTTCCCCTTGCCAGATGAAGATATTGTCAATGAATCTGCAAGAGAGAACTAGATTTGACAACCAGCTATTTTGTTGGGACAGAATATATTAATTTTCCCAATGTGCCATGAATAAATTGGCATAGCTGGGTGCGAATCTTGTTCCCATCAGAGTTCCTTTTAATTGTAAGAAAAATTTACCATCAAACCAGAAGAAATTGTTCAAAAGTATCAGTTTTATACTATATAGGATAAAACAGTTTGTTCATCTTTAATATTAGTATTAGCATTTAAAAAATATTCAACTGCTAGACATCCTAAATCATGCAATATGTTCGTATATAAGCTAGTCACATTGCATGTTGCTAAAACATAGTTTTCTCTCCATTTGAACTCAAGTAGTAATTCTAAAACTTGGGTAGAATCTCTAAGATAAGAGGGTTGGGATGTAACGTACGGTTGTAATTGTCTATCTACATATTCGGATAAATTACTGAGTAAAGAACCAATTCCTGAGACTATCGGTCTCCTGGTGGGATTTTCATTAATCTTGTGTATTTTGGGAGGGTATAGAACAGTGGGGCCTTTGGGGTGACAATATTTAAATATTCATACTCATTCTTATTCAAGATGCCCAGTGAAGATGCACCTATATCCAACAATGCAGAGAAATCCTTTTTAATCTGACATATAGGTTCTTTAGTAAATTTTTTATATGTTGTAGTGTCATCTAATTGACGATAAATCTCTAGATAGTATTTTTCTTTGCTTTGTCTGAGGGTTTTATGACAATATTTATGTCCAATTGTCGTTCTCTATTGGCCCTCCTCTGCTTAAAGGTAAGATTATTTCTGTCTTTCTTTTGATTCATTTCTCTCACATCTTTTATTACCAATTCTTAGAATACCTTCAGCCTGTTATTAAAACAGGAAGGAACAAACTTAAGACCTTTGCTTAAAACATCTCTATGTGATTTGTCTAAAATGTTGTCAGTAAGGTTAAAAATGCCTAATGATTTAAAATCCTTCCCTTTTTTCTTCCTCTCAAGATTCTCCCTCATCTGACTGCTCTCCTACTTTTTGCCAACTTCCTTTCCGTGGAGAGTTGTCAAAATCCATTTTGGGTAAACATCTCCCTATAAAGGGAGAAGTTTGTATGTTTTTATTATTTCCAGATTAATTATCTGAGAGGAGTCTATACCTATTTGAATGGGCAAATCTATCAAATGCTTCCATTCGGCTGTAATTTTTCTTTTCACATGTATTTTCCTTGGAGGTGACTTATTATTATTATTATTATTATTATTATTATGATATTTATAGAGCGCCGTCAAATTCCACAGTGCTTTACAATGGGTGGACGAACAGACATGTAGTTGTAACCAGACAAGTTGGACACACAGGAACAGAGGGGTTGAGGGCCCTGCTCAATGAGCTCACATCCTAGAGGGATTGGGGTAAAATGACACAGAAAGGTAAGGATAGTATTAGACTAATGACAGTTGCAGAAGAGAAATCAGTTAGGAGCTATTAACAGTTTAATTGATACGCTTTTATGACAAAGTGGGTTTTTAACGATTTTTTTGAAGGGGTGGAGACTGGTTGAGCATCTAACGAGGAGGGACGCAAGTTCCACAGGAAAGGTGCAGCCCTCGAGAAATCTTGAAGGCGGGCATCAGAGGTGGGAGTACGGACAGATGATAGACGTAAGTCTTCAGCAGATCGTAAGGGCCTAGACGGGACATACTTGTGTATAAGGGAGGATAGATAGGTGGGAGCAGGATTATGTAGAGATTTGAAAGCAAGAACCAGAATTTTAAATTGAGCTCTATATTTTATAGGAAGCCAATGTAGGGACTGACAGAAGGGTAAGGCATGGGAGGTGCGGACGGACAGGAAGATGAGCCTCGCCGCCGCATTCATTATGGACTCTAACGGCGCTAGCTGGGAGCACGTAAGACCACTGAGAAGCGGATTACAGAAGTCAAGGCGAGAAAGGACAGTGGAATGGACCAACACCTTAGTCGCATCTGGCGTTAAGTAGGGGCGGATGCGCGCAATGTTTTTGAGATGGAAATGACAGGATTTGGCGATAGATTGAACATGAGGCTTGAAGGAGAGGTCGGAGTCAAAGAGAACACCTAGGCAGCGAGCCTGCGTGGTGGAGCTGATGGTAGCACCGTTGACTTGGAGGGAGACAGACACAGGAAAGTTAGTTTAAGGAAGTGGGCAGCCATCCAGTTAGAAACAGCAGAGAGGCAGTCAGAGACACTAGTCAAGAGGGAAGGGGAGTGATCAGGAGAGGACAGGTAGATTTGCGTGTCATCTGCATAGAAATGATATTGGAAGCCAAAGGAGCTAATGAGTTTACCAAGGGAGGCAGTATAGATGGAGAACAGTAGGGGGCCAAGGACTGAACCTTGGGGGACACCAACAGAGAGGAGTTGGGGAGAAGAAGCAGAGCCAGAGAAAGAAACACTGAAAGAGCACTGGGAGAGGTAGGAGAAGCACCAGGAGAGAGCAGTATCTTGTAGACCGATATTGCAGAGGATGAGAAGAAGCTGTTGATGATCAACAGTGTCAAAAGCCGCAGACAGGTCAAGGTGAATTAGGATAGAGTAGTAACCACAAGATTTTGCAGCGAGTAGATCATTTATAACTATGGTCATGGCCAGCCCAAGATATTGTGCTTCCTGGGTCCAAGGAAAAAATGCTACCCCTCCCCCCCTTAAAAAAATTTGCACATCCATTATGTTATGCAGTGTGTGTAGTGAATGCAGTGTGTGTAGTGAAACCATGGTGTGCATGTGTATAGTGGATGAAGAGGGTCTGTTTGTGTAGTGGATGCAGTGTCTGTCTGTAGTGGATGTAGAATGTATGTGTAGTGGATGCAGCCTGTGTGTAAAACAAAGAAAAAACAAAGAAACGGGTTACACTAATTTAGTGTATCCAGAGCACCTATATCTGCAAACTTCAAATACATCTTCATCCAAGACCCATATTAGATATATTGGGTTCTTTGAAGATGGCTGTCATGTGGTAATGGACATAATGGATAGGTATTGGCCATTATTACTCCAGGATAAGCACTTACAACAAGTCTTGCCACCACGGGTTTCCATTACTGCTAGACAGGGTAGAAATCCAAGATATTTTAGTCCTTAGCCACCTGGGAACAACAAAAAAGAATATGAACTGGCTTAAATCTCAAGTAGCAGTCTCACATATATGTGGCAAATGTAATGTGTGCACATACATCTCTAACTAATCCAAAACCTTTACTAACTCTGAAAATACTGAAACATTTTCTACACGCTCCTTTTTCAACTGTACTACATCTGAAGTGGTTTACCTATTGACATTCAGTTGCTCCAAAAAATACATAGGCAAAACAATAAGCCCATTCAAAAAAGAATCTTAGAGCATTACAATTTGGTGAAACCCAAGAAACATTGACACTTCGATTTCGAGGGTCAGCTGAACACATCAGTTTTTCTGGAATTGAAAAAGTGACAATTGATCCCAGAAAAGATGATCTTGACAAGACGTTTTGCCAAAAAGCGAGTTACTGGATATATAAATTGAAAACACTATCACCATTGGGTCTAAATAAAGTCAATCAAGAAAATCTTCTTTTGACCATTTATCTCAGACTAATGTCCACCACTCTCTGGATCTTTATGTGTATATATTTCATTTATGTAAATAATTAGTCATCCACCCCCCCACCCCCAAGCAACACTGTGGGTGCTCACTTAAAATTTTCTCACAGGATTTTTATTATATTCATTTTTTAGTTTTTGAAAACTGGTGAATGTCTTAGTGTATATGCTATGCTACTTTGTATTGACCCCTTTGAGCAGGGAGCTGTTCCCTTCTCTTCAGAGTGGAGAGTATTGATTCTAATGGTCTATAGCAGGACACATATATGCATAAGGAAAGGAGGAGGGATATTGCTAAATGGAATCGGGTATTAAGTCTGAGAGTTATTGTGTCTAAGTGGATAAATGAGTAATTCTAAGATCCTCTTAGTACTTCAATTTCCATATACCTCTCCTTGGCTTACACTGGTGGAGTTCATGTAAACCACACTGGCTTTGTAACCCCCTTGTACATATATAGATATCTATATATATTGACCAGTAGGGTGTAGTATCTGTCCTCCACCTCCCTTGTTTTATTTTAAATCCATCATCTGGGGAGAGTGGAGGTCTGTTTGGACCCCGAACCCCAGATGCTATCTAGCAACCATATACTACATCAGATCCGGCCTGGTTAACCCCGACTCCTCTCCATTCTCGGCCGGCCGTCACTTCCTCCCGGCACTAGTTACGGCTGTAATTTTTAAAGGGGTCAGTCGCGCTATTAAAAGGTGGTGGGCCCCATCAGAGTGTGGCCCCCCGGTAGAGGTGTACAGGCAGCAGTTCCACCGCTACAGATGGGGAATGTAAGGGTTCGGGCGGCCGGTCCCACCACAACCATCATGGTTGTAACCCCCTGATGGTGGCCCTGCTTGAATTACATATCAGAAGATTTGATTTTTTTCTCTCTTCATATTTATTCAGTATAATGTCAGAAACCGCATAGTTTTAGATTCTTTTGTATCTTGGAATATATTTACATCTAGGTATATACTGTGTCCACATATTGGAGCTTGGAGCTGTGATAATAAAGCCATCTGAATAAACTATTCATTGTGGCTATAAGGTGGTATATATGAAACTTACACCTGTAAGTGAAGCGCTGAAATATATACAGGGTAATCTTACCCAGTGTGACTTAAATAGCAAGCATGGCTTTGTGGCCTATTTGTTTTTTAATTTCTCTTCACTTTTTGCTGGGTTAGAGATGGGAGCATACATTTTTGCCTTTTACTCCTACTTTACCAGGCAGTACTTTCTTCTAGTTTTGGAGGAAGAATCTTTCTATTCAATCTTTTAGAGTCTGTGTGTAGTGGATGAAGTGTCTGTGTAGTGGATGCAATGTTTGCGTGTAGTGGATGCAGGTTGTGTATAGTGGATGCAGTGTGTGTGTACAGTGGTTGCAGCTTCATGTGCTCTCCTCTCAGGAGTTGCGTGTGCACTGCTGCGGGATGCCATGGCAATGCTCCAAGCAGACCATGATGGAGCATTGCAAGAGGAGGGGGACATTAAGCTGCTGGAGGGGAAGATTAGGCTTCTCGACCCCCTCTTCAGAGGACAAGGTAGCGGGGCCCGGAACTGCATATATACATAGTAGTAATTGGCAAAATGCCACCCTATCAAAGAGAAATCTGAAATCAAGTCCCCACAGGGATCAATGGATGGGACGGCCCTGTATGTTGTTGAAGCAAGAGTGGGAACTTTCAGAATGCTGTTCTCCTTGCAGATATAATTAGGGAACATGGACCCGTTGACTCGTTTTTTGTTGAATCAGAATATTTGTATTTTTTGTGTTGTAATGTAATCACCAGTTTCTTCCAGATATAATGAAATTATATTTTCTCTGTGGTCTCTGGTCTGTGCATTTTGTAAGCCTGATGTCTGCTGCTACCCCTCCAGATTTACAGATATTCATTTTGTAGAATAATGCATTTTTTTATTATTTAATGTAGAGAATATAGAGCAATGTTGTGCAATGGGTGTGATATATATAGATGAAAATGTATCCATACTTACCGTAATTTTCCTTTCCTGGTCATAGGCCATGGCAGCACAACAATGGGTTAGCTCCTCCCTATCCCTAATTAGACAGGAACAGAATTAAAATCAGGGGTATAAATACCTCCTCCCACCAATGGTCCCTCAGTCTTGTTAACAGCAATATCCCAGGGCGGGATCTAAGTGCTGCCATGGCCTATGACCAGGAAAGGAAAATTACGGTAAGTATGGATAAATTTTCATCTTTCCTGGCCATATCCATGGCAGCACAACAATGGGTAATACCCAAGCAATAACCAAGGGAGGGAATAAAGAAAAAAACACAGACTCAAGAATATTTTAAATGCTGGTGTATTAGAAATCACACGTGCAATAGAAATCAATCAAGAAGAGTTGACTGCGGATAAGACTGATTTGCCAAAAGAGTCTGATTGGCTGGCTTTAACGTCAATCTGGTAATGCTTTATAAACGTGTTTGGAGAAGACCAAGTGGCTGCTTTGCAAATCAGCTCAGGTGACAAATTAGCAGCTGCTGCCCAAGATGAGGAAAGGGACCTCGTGGGGTGAGCCTTAAGCCCATCAGGAACTTTCATCTTTGAAGCTTGGTAAGCCTGAACGATGGCGGCAACAATCCATCTACTGATGGCCATCTTAGAAGCCTGAAGCCCTCTTCTGGGGCCGTTGGGGATGACGAATAGCCTTTGAGAGATCCGCCAGGCTGAATATCTTTGTAGATAGACAGACAGACATCGAACAAGATCTAACGGAGAAGGCAAAGTTTCAGCATCCTCAGTAGAAGACTCCGAATGAAGAGCCGGGAGTACTATTTCTTCGTTGATGTGAAAAGCTGACACCACTTTAGGACGAAATTCAGGAACAGTCCGTAAAATAACTCTGTCCTTATGAAAAACTGTAAAGGGCTCTTTAGTTGATAAGGCATGGAGTTCAGACACTCGTCTACCTGAGGCTAAGGCCACCAATAGAACCGTCTTAATGGTGAGTAACTGAGGAGAGATGGATTCAAGAGGCTCAAAAGGAGAATTGCTCAGAGCTTTTAACACCAAGGGAAGATCCCATGGTGGAGTGAAGGGCTTGATAGGAGGCTTGATTTTCAAAACTGCTGCCATAAATCTGATCACGTCCGTGTTCAAGGCCCATCTTTGATCTGTAAGGGCCGAAAGAGCTGAAATATGTACCTTCAGGGTATTGTAGCTTAAACCCTTATCAAGACCAGATTGTAGAAATTCAAGGATCTCCTTGGTGGAGATAGACTGAATATTCCTGTGGTTGGATGCAGCCCAGGAGGAAAAAACGTCCCAGATTCTGTAGTAAGTGGAAGATGTAGAGCTTTTCCTTGCTTGCAGTAGAGTTTCAATGACAGAATGAGAAAATCCCTTGCAGTTCAACCTTTCCCTTTCAATCTCCATGCCATCAGCTTGAGGGAGGCAGGGTCTGGGTGGAGGACAGGACCCTGATGTAGAAGGGAAGGAATATTTGGAAGCTGCCAGGGGTCTGCACTGCAGAGACTCAACAACAGAGGAAACCATGGCCTGCGAGGCCAAAAGGGGGCTATGAGGATGATGGATACCTTCTCCTGCCTCAATCGTCTCAGAAGAGGAAAGATGAGGGGTGTAGGAGGAAATGCGTAAGCCTAGGTGAAATTCCCAATCGATTGAAAGAGCATCCCTTCCTGATGCTTGGGGATCGATGTTTTTTGAAAAGAAGTGCTGCACCTTCCTGTTCTTGTGTGTTGCCATAAGGTCGACTTGTGGCATGCCCCATACTTGAGAGATGTCTTCGAACACCTTGTTTGACAGACTCCATTCTCCTGGATCTAATTCCACTCTGCTCAGGTAATCCGCTATGGAATTCTGGACTCCCGGAAGATGGATCGCTGATAGGCCCGCTAGATGCTTCTGGGAGAAGGACATTAGGGGCTTCATAATGGACATCATTTTCCGACTCCTTGTTCCCCCTTGATGGTTTATGTAGGCAACTACAGTGGAATTGTCTGATCTGATCTTGATCCACTTGAAGCGTATGAGGGGAAGGAGAATTTCTAGAGCTTTTAGAACTGCCAAAAGCTCTAATTGGTTGGAGGGAATCTCTGTTACTGGAAAGGACCATTTCCCCTGGATAAACTGATCTTGTAGGTGAGCACCCCATCCCCACTGGCTTGCGTCCGTGGTAATAACTGTCCATGTGATGTTCCCCAATGGAAACCCTCTGAACAGGGATTTCTTCTGTAACCACCAAATCAGAGATTGATGGACCTGAGGGGGAATCTTGATAGGCTGAAGTGGACTTCTCGATCTGAATTGAGGATGAAATTCTTCTGGAAAATCCTCATCCTCCATTGGGCCCATCTTGTCAGTCCGATGGTGGAGGACATTGATCCTAACAGGCTCATGCATCTTTCTGCTGAGGTCAGATTGGATGCCAACATGTCTTTGACTTTGTTCATCAACTTCGTACCTCTTTCTGGAGACAGTTGCACTGTGCCTGCTAGAGTGTTGAATATGGCCCCCAAATATTTCATCTCCTGAGCCGGCTGTAATTGGCTCTTGTTCTCGTTTAACTTCCAACCATGACGGCGTAGAAAACGTAGACAAACCTGCCCATGGGTCTGAAGGGTATCTGTGTCTTCTGCCAAGATGAGGATGTCTTCTAAGTAATGGTAAATGGCTATGCCCTTTTTCCTGAGCTCCGCAATCAAAACAATCAAGACCTTGGAGAATGTTCTTGGAGCTGTGCTGAGACCGAACGGCAGGGCTCGGAATTGAAAATGCCCTTGTTCCACCGCAAACCGAAGGAATTTCTGATGTTCTGGAGCAATGGGGATGTGGAAATAAGCGTCTGCCAAGTCTATAGAAATCATCCATTGGTGTGGAAAAACGACCTTTATGATGGATTGAATAGACTCCATCTTGAACTTCCGGATGAGGAGATGCTGATTTAGTCTGCTTAAGTCTAAGATAGGTCTCCAACCACCTGAAGCTTTTCTGGTGAGAAACAGGTGAGAGTAAAACCCTTGACCTTGCTGTCGCTGAGGAACTGAAATGATGACATTTCCTTCCTGGAGTGTCGAGATGAAATCTTTTAAGGCCTGTCTTTTTTCTGCATCTCCTGGCCATTTGGTCGTTTGAAAGGAGTAAGCTGGAGGGGGTCTGAAGAATTCTAAACGATATCCTCTTCTTATGATATCCAACACCCATTTGTCTGTGGTGGATAGTTCCCATACGTCTTGGAAGAGTAACAGACGTGCCCCCACACCTACTGACTGGGGGGAAGACCAGTCATAAAGATCTGGGGTTCTTGTGGAACGAGGCGCCTCTAGATTTACCGCCTCTGGTAGATGACTGTCCACCTCTCCAAGGCTGGGATCTTCCATGCTCTCTTCCTGCCTTGTAAGATCTGGCATCTTGAAAGGAAAAATAGTCTGGATATCGTTTGGATCGAAAGGAACCTCTGGGTTTACGATCCTGCGGGAGAAAAGCTCTTTTGCCTTCGGCTGCTCTTTTAATACATTCATCCAAGTTTTTTCCAAACAACATGTCGCCGTGGAAAGGTAAGGCACATAAACTAGATTTAGAAGAGGTATCTGCTATCCAGGACCTTAACCATAAAGCCCTTCTGGCTGAAACAGAGAGGGCCATATTTCTGGCAAAGGCCTTAACCAGATCCACCGAAGCGTCAGACGTAAAGTCTACTGCAAGCTTTATATCTTTTAGACTTTCCAGAAGACTGGATCTGCTCCTGCCTCTTTGGATGTCTGCCTCTAGATTTTCCATCCAGATCTTTAAAGCTCTGGAAACTGAAGTGAGAGCGACTGCTGGATGGAGGCGTAAAATTAGACACTTATCATTTATTTTTTCACATGTTCTTTATGGCACTTTATAGCCACCAACGTATATTTCTAAAGCATAAATGAGCTTTTAACTAAAGATTATTTTCCCAAATAAAAAACTAATAGTAGCTTACTTCTTTTCACCTCTCAGAAACCAAATATGGAACATTAGGACACATACATTCCAGTGAAATGTCAGTGAAAGTACCTTGACATAGACCCTGCTGTTGTTTTGCTCTAAGTAAAGCTGCTATTTTGGCTTTTATCCTTGAGTGCCTGGATCAATATTTATTTTCTATATCTGGAAGTGAGACCTGGCTGTTCTAAGTTCCTGAGCACCCAGGAAGCCTGGAAAGTGCAGTGTCCATTATCTTTTCTAGAAGTATAGTACCTGAACTAGGGGTTGCCAAGGTCCTTCTCTGCATCCCCAGCAAATCAACATTTCAGAAATAACTACTACAACTCTGTCCCCTCTCAACTGTCAGTAAGAAATAGTTGCGAATGAACAATGGAGTAATTGTACATGCATACAGCTCATTTTTATTAACAAATGTATTCATCCAACATTGATGCACATTGATTGCACTGAACAGGACAACATTTCCTGAAAAGATTAGTGTTACTCACTCAAGTCCAAATTGTATCAAATTAAAATCTTTTTTCAAATAAGTTATGTTTTCCTACATTTTGTTGTTCATATTTTTTAAACTACAATTCGTCATTTAGTGAATAACATGATAACATTGATTTGCTCATAAAAAACACCTTAGTAACATAAGTGTACTTTAAGTCCACCGTGCTTTTGGTACCTATTTTTTTTAGATTTATAAACCTGATTTGCACCCAAATTTCAAACAAGCAAAGTATGCAGAAGGAATATGAATACATTTGTTAAGCATTATTTTACAACATAATATTAATAAAACATTAATTCATCATCTCACTCTTTCTTTCCTTTGCCTTGTATTACTAATTAATATTTGGAAGGTTCTCCTGTAATTATTGCATTAGTGCAGCCATTAACATTAGGAACTTTGAAAGTGAGTAATTTTATTTCATTGATTTATATATATTTTTCTTGCATTGTATGTAATGCATTATTTATATAATGTATTTAAAAATAAGGGCTCACTAACCCCATTGTTATAGATTTTACTTTTTAATAGCCCTTATAAAATAAAGATGATCATAATCAACCACCTCATTGACTATTTTGCTTTTCCGTACCTCACATCGCTCAATCGCAAGACCTGAAATCTTCCAGAGCTTCTTTTATAAACTTTTCATCGCACCCTAAAATATTGTACTTTTCCTCACCAACAGTGTAAAATGCACCATTATAAGCACCTATTAATAACAGGCGTCCTCCTAGTTTTAGCATCACCTTTTGGTAACAATCACCTTTTGGTAACACAGCCGGGTCCGTAGGGTTGGCTTTGCTGAAATCACATTTTAAGATGCGTTTGATGTTCTACATTGGTCATTTTCCTTTTCTTTAAAATAATCACTAAAAAAGAGAGCTAGTGTAGTTATTGTACTAAATGCATTGCAATCAGAGTATTGTAAGAAACGTTTGTACAGTTTGTTATAAACACAAACTATGTCTATTTATTTTATCCATTCTATTTACAGGTGTGCTTTTGAAATTAAGGGGAAACTGTAAGCTCCATAATTGCTTCAAATGGCACGTTTTACCCAGCTATTACTACTATTATTGTCGGAGTGACAGACACAAGAGGCATTGGAACCCTGCAATGAAAATATTGCCATTCCTGAAGAATACTGATTCCTCTTCTTTAACTGTCACTAGTCTAATACTATCCTTACCTTTTTGTGTCATTTTACCCCACTCCCTCTAGCATGAAAGCTCATTGAACAGGGCCCTCAACCCCTCTGTTCCTGTGTGTCCAACTTGTCTGGTTACAACTACATGTCTGTTCGTCCACCCATTGTAAAGCGCTGCCGAATTTGATGGCGCTACATAAATAACATAACAATAATACAATGTTTTTTGTTTTAGGTTTAAATCTAGAGGGACTTGGCACTCAAATTTATTTTGAGGGATATTTTGGAGATAACTAACCAAATATTTGCTTTCCTGTTAATATTGTAAAATTGAAATAATAAATGTCTCCTCTCTCTACTCCCTCTTTACCCCCCCATCTCTTCTTTTTCTAAAAGCACTTTTCAATAACCTTGACTTATTTACAAAATGTTTTTCTCCTATTTTCAATACCCTATGAGTTTCATGGGTTGATTACCCATTCAAGATCCCAGCTTTTCCCTGTTTCTCTCCTGTATTCTCAGCTACTGCCCCACTAGTTACTTTCTAACTTCTCACTAGCGCTATTTACTTGGTGTGGAAATTACACTTAAATCTTTTTTGAGAGTGGGATTTTCTTCAATATTGAATAAACACACGCTCTAGAATCACATTGTCATCTTTGCATAAATTGCCCTAATGATTGTCTTTACATATGACTTCTGTTCTTACATGCTCTATGTAAATCTATTTCTGTTTTGTTAATAAAAGCCTAGAAACAGCAATCTGTTATTAAACTGTATAAAATAAAATAGACAAAAAAATCACAATTTAAAAATCTAAAAGATGAAAATATGTGATAAAAGTAGATGCTGCTCGACACATGAAAGGTTATTCCTACCTATTGACCTTAAGAAGGAGTCAGTGCTTCAGAAAATTGTCCTTAATTCTTAGAAAAAGGAAAAAATGATAATTTACAACCATATACTCTTATAGGTATAGTCTTTATACACCTACACAATGGTAAGTAGGCCTTAGCAAAACAAATTCACTGTGTGCCTGATACTGTGGTCAGCAATAGGGTGGTGTTGAAAATCCACAGCTTAGTGTTGCAGTTATGATCTAGCAGAAATTTTTCTAAGCGGGATATTCTCAAACACAGTTTATTAGAAAAAACATTTTTGTGTAGAAGTAAAAATATAAATACAAGAAGTAGTAAAACATTCAAGAAGTGGTATATAGTTCAAATCGTAACCACTAAATAGTCCAGTGTAAGCAGTTGAGCAGTAGAGTTACCCTTTCGTTAAAGCAGATTAAGCAGTAGACAGTTCTCTCTTCAAGCTGCAATGATGATAGTGAAGACCGGAGGGACACTGTTATCTCAGTCCGCTGCAAATTACTGCTGGAACTGGAGAAATGCAGATGAATAAGAATTTCAAGAATCTATGTCTCATAGAATATATACCCTCTAAGATTGTGATGCCTGTCAAAGTTTCTTAAAGGTACCTACGTTCTTCTATGGCAAAACTTTTCATGTGTGAGCCATCATTCCATTCAAATAACACAGAAAGCTGGAGAGAAAATCTATGGGAAAATAATTTAGCAATGCTTCGTAGAAAAGTTTTTATTGAGAGTAGAAAATAAAAAATATAAAATAAAAAATAAAATAATCAAACATAATAAATAAAAATGTAAAAAAAATGTATTAATAAATTATTTTTTGACTAGCCCAAAAATGGAGATTTAGAGATTATTGACTATTCTAGCTCTGCATTTAGTCCAAAAGGGACTAAGGTTTTCAAACTGTGGATCCAAAACATTTATTGTCTGATTAATTGTTTACTTAGATCACCATCTCTCCATGGTGTGTGTACTAGTAGGATCCCACAGCATTTAAGAGTTTTGGGGTCACCATTATGGACTTCCATAACATGTTTAGATAAAGTGTGGTTTTCACACATTTTTTTAATGTTGTAAATATGTTCTCTTAGTCTGATTTTTTTAGCTTTCGTTTAGTTTGACCCACATATTGAAGACCGCATTCATATTCTAATAAATATATGACCTGCTTGGAATGACACGTGATGCAGTCTTCAATATTGTAGGATCTATTGGTTTTATATGATTTAAAACTAATTGTTTTTCCAAAAGGTGGCCCTGTCATCTTGAAAATATTGCACTGACCACATTTATAAAAACCTTTATTGTCATTTAAAAAATGTTGGTTTTTTTCTCAGAAAAGTGTGTACTATTTTTTTGTTTTATAGTTTGTGCTCCTCTAAATAATATCTTTGGTTTTTGAGGTAGAATTGTGCCTAAAGTAGGGTCCTGAATTAGAAAATGCCAATTTTTATGAATCATTTTTCTTAAGATTGCGGATTATGAACTGTAATTGAAAAAAAAGGGACAATTAAAATTATCATCCATTTTTTGGTCCTGAGATTGTAATATTTGCATTCTCTCCAAATTATTAACTTTTTGTATCGATTTCCTTAATAGTTCTTTGCTATAGTTTTTTCTTCAAATTGTTGTTTAATTATTTCTGTTTGTTGTTGACAGACTAACTCGTCTGTACAGTTCTTTTTAATTCTGCGAAATTGTCCCAAAGGGACATTATCAATCCAGGGCGGGTAGTGACAACTAGAATTCCGGATAAAACTATTAACATCCACACGTTTAAAGAAATTCCTAAAGCACTATAAGAATTAAATGAGAATAAAAATATATTTCAAATTAAATGTACAGATAAAGGTGGAGGAATTGTAATTTTGGTCACTATATATAATGAAGAAGAATGTAATAGAGTTTTAAAAGATACAACCACTTACGAAATTTTAAATAGAGATCCCACAAAAGAGACCCAGAAGTAACTACATATGCTCCTAGAAAAAGAAAGGATTTTAGGTATTTTAACTAAAAAAGAATATACTTAAGTTTCAATCACACACCCTATCAAACCAGTGTTTTACTTTCTACCAAAAATGCACAAAAACCTCAAAAAAAACCTTGGTAGACCAATTATTTCAAGTATAGACTCCTTGACTGCTAATCTATCTCAATACATAGACGTTCTCCTACTACCTTATGTTTAGACGTCGAAGTCTTATTTAAAAGACAGTGGAGAACTCCTTACACTAGTAGAGGGTAAATTATGGAGCAAGAATCTCTGGCTTGTAACATGTGATGTTACATCAATATAAACTGTTATCAAACATCATTTAGGTCTTCAAGCAATCCGATATACTCTCTATCAAAAAGGAGACATGCATTTAGAGCAGATAGAGTTTTTAATAGAATGTATTAATTTTATATTAACCAATAATTTTTTTTGGTACAATCAAGATATATATATATATATATATATATATATATAAAATATCCAAATACTTGCACTCCAGTTGTATTCTCATAAAGCCCGGTGCTGATCAAGCAAAATAATATATACAGGAAAGTAGAAAATAGCACTCTAAGGACTTCAAAAAGGTATCCTGACGAAAGTTCTGCTATAGAACTGAAACGTTGAAATATTGTGGCAGTTGCTGAATAAAAGCTAAGTTATTTTTTCACAATACCTTTTTGAAGTCCTTAGAGTGCTATTTTCTACTTTCCTGTATATATATATATATATATATATATATATGTATATATATATATATATTTATACAAGTAACAGGCACGGCTATGGGGACTAAATTCACACCCAGTTATGCCAACATCTTCATGACCTTCTGGGAACAATTGTTCATTTGGGAGAGTCATCCCTGGGTGGCAAATCTGGTCCTCTATAGATGCTATATAGATGACTTGTTTTTTTATTTGGGAATGAGAAGAACTTTTACTAGAATTTTCAAAGTATATTAACACAAATGATTTTAATTTATCCTTCACTTACAAATACCACCGCTCAGAAATAGATTTTTTATACTTAGTGCTCTATGTTGATCAAGATGGCCTAAAAACAAGGACTTTCTTTAAAAGTGTGGATGTTAATAGTTTTATCCTGAATTCTAGTTGTCACTACCTGTTTTGGACCATTAATGTCCCTTTGGGACAATTTCGCAGAATTAAAAAGAACTGTGCAGACGGGTTAGTCTGCCATCAGCAAACAGAAATATTTAAACAACAATTTGAAGAAGAAAAAAACTATAGCAAAGATCTATTAAGGAAATCGATACAAAAAGTTAATAATTTTGGAGAGATTACAAATATTACAATCTCTGGACCAAAACAACGGTTGATAACAATTGTAATTGTCCCCTTATTTTTAATTACAGTTCACAATCTGCTATTTAAGAAAAATAATTAATAAAAAAATTTCATTTTCTACTTCAGGACCCCACTTTAGGCACAATTATACTTCAAAAACCAAATATATTTTTTAGAGGAGCACCAACTATATATAAAAAAAATAGTACACACTTTTTAAGCCCCTGAGACAAATTTTTTTTTTTTTTTAGATGACAATAAAGGTTTTTATAAATGTGGTCAGTGCAATATTTTCAAGATGACAGGGCCACCTTTTGTTAAAACAACTAGTTTTAAATCATATAAAACCAATAGATCCTACTTATTAGTGTAGGTAAAGGATGCTTCCGCTGATAGGGACAAGAATTCTGCAAACTAGTACATTAGTGGGGTGGGGTGCACTTCATATCTGAGAGTCAAATAGAAGCTTCAAATACCACGGTTACATCGGAGTTTAAAAAAAGTCAATTTTTTTGGTGCTAAATAGTACATTAGTGGGATAGTACATTAGTGGGGTGCACTTCATATCGGAGACTCAAATAGAATCATCAAATACTGCTGTCACATTGCAGTTTTAAAACTTAAAATTATTTGGGTGCTAAACTGCTAAATATTATTTTAGTGGGGTGCACTTCATATCTGTGAGTCAAATAGAAGCGTCTAATAGTGTGCTTACAGCGCATTGGTAAAGATTCTTATTTTCTGGGTGTTAATCTGCAAAATGGTACATTTTGTGGCCTGCTCTTCATATCTGAGTGTCAAATAGAACCGTCTAATAGTGTGCTTACTGCGCAGTTGTAAACATTCTAATTGTTTTGGTGCTAAACTGCTAAATAGTAAATTTTGGGGCGTGCACTTCATATCTGAGAGTCAAATAGAAGCGTCTAATACTGCGGTTACAGCGCAAATTGTAAACATTCAAATAGTTTTGCTGCTAAATAGTACATTTTGGGTGTGCTCTTCATATCTGAGAGTCAAATAGAAGCGTCAAATACTGCTGTCACATTGCAGTTTTAAAACTTAACATTTTTGGGGTGATAAACTGCTAAATAGTATTTTAGTGGGGTGCACTTCATATCTGAGAGTCAAATAGAAGCGTCTAATAGTGTGCTTACAGCGCACTTGTAAAAATTCTAATTTTCTGGGTGTTAATCTGCTAAATAGTACATTTTGTGGCCTGCTCTTCATATCTGAGAGTCAAATAGAAGCGTCTAATAGTGTGCTTACTGCGCAGTTGTAAACATTCTAATTGTGTTGGCGCTAAACTGCTAAATAGTACACTTTGAGGCGTGCACTTCATATCTGAGAGTCATATAGAAGCGTCTAATAGTGTGCTTACAGCACAGTGGTAAACATTTTTATTTTCTGGGTGCTAATCTGCTAAATAGTACATTTTGTGGCCTGCTTTTCATATCTGAGAGTCAAATAGAAGTGTCAAATACTGCGGTTTCAGCGCAATTGTAAACATTCAAATTGTTTGCTGCTAAACTGCTAAATAGTACATTTTGGGTGTGCTCTTCATATCTTAGAGTCAAATAGAAGTGTCAAATACTGCTGTCACATTGCAGTTTAAAACTTAATTTTTTTGGGGGCGCTAAACTGCTAAATAGTATTTTAGTAGGGAAAGTCAAATAGAAGCGTCTAATAGTGTGCTTACAGCACACTTGTAAAAATTCGAATTTTCTGGATGCTAATCTGCTAAATAGTACATTTTGGGGCATGCTCTTCATATCTACAAGTCATGCTACAACAAAATTAAACAAGTTTTAAAATATGTATGGGCCAACCAGTGGCTGTAAACAACAAAGTTTTACTGGTTACATTCATGACTACACACTCTAGTGAATAGTGAACATTACCTTCATGTAGTGTATTCTTTTTAAAAAAAAATCATACAGCATCCTTTCATGTGCTTTTCAGATGTCATATTGCGAATTACCAATTTTTGTGTAGTCTGATTTTTTTATAAAAAGTGAAAAATAAGTGTTATTGTGATCGCTTCATATACAGAAGCATTAATATACATTTCTATGTTGTGTAACACAACTACAAAGTTAAAAAACAAACACCAAAACAACGTGCCAAACAATCTACCTGTGCATGGCTTGTGTGATACAATAAGTCTACATTTTAAAAATGCAATAACCCACAGAAGATGAGCGAGAATTGTTTTTGCAAATGGAACTTTGATTCGAATTTACTACATCGGTCACTTGTAACATATAACACTTGTTACACAGATCTAAGTGATAGAAAACAGATTGATATTTTCTACACTAGAAACTACCAGATAACAAGCTGCTATATTTAAACCAGTGATCAATAGCTTAGAGGTACTTCAACAATATTGTAATTCTGGGGCAATACCCTCACAAGTCAAACTGAGAGGTCAGTTTATAGGGTAGCCTGGATACAATTCTAAAACAATTTCCATATGTCCTTTGCAGACTTTACATGCTGGAAAAACACACGTACCAGATTTAACAATCCATTTGTAGTTTCACAGTGAGGTGGGCAGTCCGGTGACCAGGACTGTCTGGGCGGCGGTCGGACGACCAGGACCCAGTATGCCTGTTGTTGAAGTTAGGAGTCACAGTGTGGAATGGATTAGCAAGGTCTGGTGCAGGGTAACCTCATGCCCCCTGGTGTTGAGCACCAGCATTTGTGCGGCCACATACCAGGACCCTGATTCAGCTTCAATAAAAAGAGTACTGGATACCAGAAGCCATCACCAGACTGATCCGCAACTTGGAACAGGATGTGACATTCACTATGGCGGCTGTGCGCGCTTACGCCTGTCTGCTCTGCAGCGTAACTTCGGCCTTCCTGCTCACCGCCTCATGACACTGTGCGAGCAGTGTCGTCACTGCTGCCTTTATTTGTCGTTACTGCTGCCTTCCTTGCATGTGGTAGCTGTTTCTCAGGGTCCCTGTACGGAATGGAACCCTGATTCCCCGTTACCCGTGGTCATCATGGTAGGCGCAGAAACTGGCATCGAAAGTTTATATGGGTGACATCCGCATGCAAAGTCGTTGCCACGGGGATGTGCGATTGGCCCGAGGTTCTCTAGAGTTAACAAAGTGCCTGCGCAACTATAATGTCAACAGCTACTCGGCGGAACAAAGTTGTCTTTTTTTTTTATATGTCCCAATATTTTGTGGGCTACCCTAATTAAAAAAAAATAAATATATATATATATATAAAACAGATTTGGCTACCTCACCCTCCTCCACCGCCACGGTCACCGCCTCCTCAACCTCTGGGTCACTTAGTATAAACTAGGTACACATTAGCAGAGGCTTGTAAAGGCCTTTTCTCCATCCATCAGGAGTTGAGCATTTCTCCATGCATCAGGAGCTGAGCATTTCTCCATGCATCAGGACTGCAAGAAATGCACCACAGGCCGCAAATGTTTCTTTTTTTGTATGTCCAAATATTTTGTGGGCTACCACAATAAAAAAAACAAAAAAAAAAACATAAAAAACAGTGTTGGCTACCTCATCCTCCTCCTCCACCGCTGCTTCCACCTACATCGCCCCGGTCACCGCCTCCTCAATCTATGTGTCACTTAGTATAAACTAGGTACACATTAGCAGAGGCTTGTGAATGCCTTTTCTCCATGCATCAGGAGTTGAGCATTTCTCTATGCATCAGGACTGCAAGAAATGCAGCGCAGGCCACAAATGTTTATTTTTTGTATGTCCCAATGTTTTGTGGGCTACCACAATTAAAATAAAAAAATATATATATAAAAAAAACAGTGTTGGCTACCTCCTCCTCCACCGCTGCTTCCACCTCCACCGCCACGGTCACCACCTCCTCAACCTATGGGTCACTTAGTATAAACTAGGTACACATTAGCAGAGGCTTGTGAAGGCCTTTTCTCCATGCATCAGGAGTTGAGCTCAGTTTGAACAATGAAAGAGAATACCCTGCACTCCAACCCTCTCTCAAATGGATAATTCTGTTGATCCTCCTAACAGCCATGCTTTAGATTTTGATTTATGTTCTTCCAAAGCTAAAATCAAAGATTCCATCTAGTGCTATTTTATGGCTCAGCTGTATTTTTTATTTTTTATGTTATTTTAAGTGATTTCCCTATCCACATTTGTTTGCAGGGCACTTGTCCTACTCTTACCCCCATTTTACTTGCTTTTGCAGCTCTCTAGCTCTTTCCAGGAGTTTTTAGATACATTTTTGTGGCCAAAAGTTCAGGTCGCCATTGATTTCAATAGGGATCGGGGTCAAGTTCGGGGTCAAGTTCGAGCCCGAACCCGGACTTTTTTTCAAAGTTCGGCGAACCCGCCGGACCCGAACATCCAGGTGTCCGCTCAACTCTACTTATGAACGTCTTCTAATTCTTATGGTTATTGCAATAATCTGTTACTGAATATATTTTTTAATTAGATGCATTTGTATATTGATTTTCAGATGTCGTCTAATTTATATATGGTTTATGGTACACTACTATATCAATGTCTGTATACTTAAACAGATAGATGCACTGTATTATTTCAATGGAATGATGGCTGACACATAAAAAGTTTGCCATAGAAGGACGTATGTACCTTTTAAGAAACTTTGACAGCCATCACAATCTTAGAGGCTATATATACTATGAGCCAAGGATCCTTCACTATCTTGAAAAAGCCCGCCAAGCATGGGCGAAATGCGTTGATGAGCTGAGGATCAAGTTTTTATTCATCTGCATTTCTCCAGTTCCAGCAGTAATTTGCAGTGGACTGAGATAAAAGCGTCCCTCCGGTCTTCACTTTCATCATTGCGGCTTGAAGAGAGAACTGTCTACTGCTTCAACGAAAGGGTAACTCTACTGCTCAACTGCTTACACTGGACTATTTAGTGGTTATGATTTGAACTTTATACCACATCTTGAATTTGTTACTACTTCTTGTCTTTATATTTTTACTTCTACACAAATATATTTTTTCTAATACACTGTGTTTGAGAATATCCCGCTTAGACAAATTTCTGCTAGATCATAACTGCAACACTAAGCTGTGGATTTTCAACACCACCCTATTCCTGACCAAAGTATCAGGCACACAGTGAATTTGTTTTGCTAAGGCATACTTACCATTGTGAGGGGGGAAAAGACTATACCTATAAGTGTATATGGTTTTAAATTTGCATTTTTTTTCCTTTTTCTAACAATTTTTCTAACAAGATTTTCTGAAGTGCTGACACTTTTTACAAAACTTGTTGTTAAACTGTATTGAATCGTATATGAACATACCTTCTTTAGCTTCCTTAAAAAGTTCGTCAAATGGAAATTTTAAAATCTCATCCAACATCAAAGCATCAGATGTTGCAGATAAATATGTTTCTGCAAACTTTTCTGAATCGATATTGTGCAGGTGATAGTGTTTATGGGTGGAAGAAGTCATTCTTAGCCTCTGGATAATCAAGTTAGATGCACCAAAAATGCTGTAATTACAGTTTGAACTAAAAATCTAGGTTGAAATTCATTTTATAAGTATCTGATAAGACCCCAGGTGAAATAAGTCTAGGTCAAGTTTGTTTTTCTTCTTTTTTTTTCTTATTGTGGAGATGATTGCAATTTTATTTAGTTTAACTTGAGGCAAGCAAAGATAACGACAGGAGATGAATGACATGTGATAGTATGTTTTTCCTTCTGCTTTATATGCGTGTAAAAAAGATATGTGTGTGAGTTCATTAGTGCACAATCAGACACTTTAACAGGATCCAGTGAAAACTTAAGGGAATTTTAATTTAAAGCGGCACTGTCATGTCGAACTTACCTTTCCCCAATCGCTTCCTCTTCTCTCCCTCTCTCACGATCTGTTCTTCTTTTCTACCTTTTTGATGTAGTTTCTTTTATAGGGACTATTTTGTCTTGTGTATTTTTTCTATGCTTGACCATCTTTGACCCAAGGAAGAGCTTAAGTCCACTCCATTTCCTGGGGTTAAATAAATTTTCCCATCATACTTACTTTTCCTCCGTGTTCTCGCTTTTGTTCATTCGCCGTTCAAATGTCCTGTCATTTAGACAGGCCACCGGTGAAACTACCAAATTTAGTACAGAATGTGTACAGTTGGTCTATTCGTGTTTGGACAAAAAAATTCCCTTTTGCTCCTACTCACTATACCACAGCTGCTCACAGTTTGAAAAAAAAAAGACCCCCCAATTTAATAAAGAAATCTATTCAAATAATTAACAGTGGGTCATGGTGTCCCCCCGAGACTCACCCGTGGGGGCCACTTAACTAAACAGGGGACCTATTGTCTCTACTATCCCCCCCCCCCCATGGCCTCCATACATGGGTTGCGGGTGGGGGCCCTTAAATAACAAAAGGGGAGGACCTACAGTCTCCCCCCCAGACCAATCCATGATCGACAGGTGGGGGCTAACTGTAAAAAATAAATCGACAACCCAAGTGGCTGGGGAATTTTAGGGCTACTAAGAGCACAATTCGATGTAGTGGAATCGGGAGGGGGTTAAAAGAAAGATGGATGTGGCCAAGACAGTGCTGCTTTAATAACTGTTTTTTTTTTTTTATCTCGCTCATAAGTAGAGTTAAAAGGACCCTTCCATCAAACTGTCCAATACAACCAGTATTACGTAACATATGTAATACCAATCTGGGCACTGTGTACACCAATATTGGGTTACTTATAATATCCCATTATGGGCACCAAGCACACCATAATAATTATAGTTAGATTAATATATATGGAGTTCAAACTGGTATTTTATATTTTGCAAAATTGCACTAAAATTGTTATGGGCATCATCCCTGGCTTTCCTTTTTGACCAACATACAAGTTATAGCTGTGGTCATGTCCGGCCATGACATTGTTCTGCCTTGGTCCAAGGTTGAAATGCTGCCCCACCTATTCAAAACAGAAGGCTACGGCTCAATATTTCCACTTTGGCAGATAAAGTTTGAAGGCTAGTGCTTAATACTATCTCTGCCAAACTGTTTAGCTGTTACAACCTGAAGGCTATTAAGAAATATCACTTCTGTCTAAATTGCTCGCCTGATATAGCCTGAAGGATATTGAATCTATTGACTATTGTTAAGCTGACTTTTTTTTTTTTTTATTGGTTAGTAAAGAACAAAATAATCTTGTGGTTAAAGGTGACTGCTCAATTGTAATCTAAATAAAGGAATACTAAACAAGTTTGTCTGCTAGCACCCATACATTTTTCTGGCTGAAAAGACTAGGGTCTATTACAACTATAAGACTCGGCTGACACACCAAGAATATGACTTAAAAAAAAGTCAAAAAAATAAACCAATACCCAAAAAAGGGGGATAACAAAACAGAAAACCGTCTCTCTTTTTTACGCCTCCCCATATCTCAAGAACAGAACAAGACAGAGAGACGCAGACGAATATCTTTAAAGGGGATACTAGAACAGAAAGAGAAAATAATGAAGAATCCCTCAAAATCCCATGCATAGAAGAAGTTCAACCATTACTGCAGGTAATAGGTAAAGAATAGGTAAATACATATTTTGAAGCCCAATTGGGGAAAAAGCACTAAAGCTGACTGACTTAATGGATCAATCTAAAATAAATAATTTACGACTCTGAGATATAGCCGAACAAATAACAAACAATAAGTTGGAAGAATTTGTAATTGAATTTTTGAGGAAATTGGTACCTCAAGACAACATTGTAAGTTCCTATATTGGAGAGATGCCACAGAGGGATGAGACCACCAAATCTCCAAGAGACTGTAGCGAGAGATGTCATAGTTCATTGCTTTTCTAGCAAAGTTAAAGATCAAATCATGCAACTATGTAGAACAGCCAAAACTGCTTTGTTAAGCTAAAGTTGTTTTGGTGACTATAGTGTCCCTTTAATGCAGCCTTGTTGGAACAGGGTGGCCATCCACCAACCATCAACTACTCCATCCATCTGGACCCTGGAGTAGGATGGAGTAGTTGATGGTTGGTGGATGGCCAACCTGTTCCAACAAGGCTGCGACGTCAGCAAGGTGGTGGTGAAGTCATGTTTTGGGCCGGAATCATGGAAAGAGAGCTGGTAAGCCCCTTTAGGGTCCCTGAAGGTGTAAAGATGACCTCTGCAAAGTATGTGGAGTTTCTGACTGACTACTTTCTTCCATGGTACAGAAGGAAGAACTATGCTTTCCGTAATAAAATCATCTTCATGCATGACAATGCACCATCTCATGCTGCAAAGAATACCTCTGCATGAATGACTGCTATGGGGATAAAAGGAGAGAAAGTCATGGTGTGGCCTCCATCCTCCCCTGACCTCAATCCTATTGAGAACCTTTGGAACATCCTCAAGCAAAAGATCTATGAGGGTGGGAGGCAGTTTACATCCAAACAGCAGCTATGGGAGGCTATTCTGACATCTTGCAAACAAATTCAAGCAAAAACTGTCCAAAAACTCACAAGTTCAATAGATGCAAGACTTGTGAAGCTGCTATCAAATAAGGGTTCCTATGTTAAAATGTAACGTGACCTGTTAAAATGTTTAAAAAGTTAAAATGTTGTTATAAGTTTGATTGAAATAGCTTTTGATTTCAGTAAATATGCTGCAAGCACAACAAATGACAATTTTCAGTTCTTTACAACCTATAAAGTGTTTTGAAACTTACTGTGCGTAATAATTTGGAACAGTGCATTGTAAGTTTTTATGTTTAAAAAAAAATACTGTTATCATTAGGAGGTTTGTTCAATAAAATTTGAATTGTACTCTTAATAGTTGATAACATGAGAATTATGCTGACTGTTATTTACATCAATTATTTAGCTAAATGAGAAAAATATAATTTGCATAATAATTTGGAACAGGGTGTAAATACAAATACACCCCTCCATTCAAACTTCAACATTACATACAAACATACTCCTGCATTGAAACGTCAACACTACATACAAACACAACTCTGTGTTAACCCCTTCCCGACCGAGGACGGTTCAGGACCGTCATCGGGATTTTCCCATTGCGGACCGATGACGGTCCTGAACCGTCCTAACGGTTTCCGTTACTTACCTGATCGCCGTCGTTCCCCCGGCGGCGATCAGTGTTGCTCCCGGTGTGGGGAGACTGCCTGCAGCCCAGACAGTCTCCCCACACTGATTTAGGACCCCTGTGGCCATGTGATTGCTTAACATAGCGATCACATGGTCACAATGGGTGTCCATAGTGCTGCCTGCAGGGGGACTGCCTGTGCTGACAGGCAGTCTCCCTGCATGTGTAAAATCAAAAAAAAAAATAAAGTTAATGTTAATAAAAAAAAAATAATAATTATATATGTGTATATATGATATATAGACATATATTATATCTATATAATATATGTCTATATATCATATATATAATACCATACTAAGTGTATTTTTATATTAATATGTACTTATATTAAAATAAAAATACACTTATAATTAAATTACACACGTATATATATAATATATATAATAACTATATAGATTGTATATATATATTATTATAAAATATAAATAATAAGTAATTTAAATTAAATAAAAATTTTTAAAAATAATAATAAAAATTTTTAAAAAAATTATATAGCTATATGAAATTTTATTCTAACTGTATTTTAAAATTAATATATATATATTTATATCAAAATACACTTAGAATGAATTTGTATATATATCTATGTATATAAAAATAAATAAAAATAATAAGAAATATACATATGTCCATATACAAAATTACATAAATAATTATATAAATATACACGTAGACTTCAAATATATAAATATGCATATATATTTAAATTCTACGTGCGTATTTATGTAATATTTTTACATAATTCAGTAATTTTATTGATTGCAATTTGAGGGACCTGCCTGCCAACCCAGGCCGAAAGTCCAGAGAATTTAATTTGCTAGCACTGTATTTTACCCTGTAACGTTCTACGACACCCTAAAACCTGTACATGGGGGGTACTGTTTTACTCGGGAGACTTCGCTGAACACAAATATTAGTGATTCAAAACAGTAAAACATATCACAGCGATGATATTGTCAGTGAAAGTTACTTTTTTTGCATTTTTCACACACAAACAGCACTTTTACTGATGATATAATTGTTGTGATACGTTTTCCAGTTTTTAAACACTAATATATGTGTTCAGCGATGTCTCCCGAGTAAAACAGTACCCGCCATGTACAGGTTTTATAGCATTTTTGAAAGTTACAAGGTCAAATACATGGGTCAAATATTTTTACATTGAAAATGGCCAGGTTGGTTACGTTGCCTTTGAGAGCGTATGGTAGCCCAGGAATGAGAATTACCCCCATGATGGCATACCATTTGCAAAAGAAGACAACCCAAGGTATTGCAAATGGGGTATGTCCAGTCTTTTTTAGTAACCACTTGGTCACAAACACTGGCCAAAATTAGCGTTCAATTTAGTTTTTTTACTTTTTTCACACACAAACAAATATGAATGCTTACTTTGGCCAGTGTTTTCGACTAAGTGGCTACTAAAAAAGACTGGACATACCCCATATTGAATACCCTGGGTTGTCTACTTTAAAAAAAATATGTACATGTGGGGTGTTATTCAGAGATTTATGACAGATAATAGTGTTACAATGTCACTATTGATAAATTTTTAAAATGCATGTTTTGAAACCGCAATATCCTACTTGTACCTATAGCCCTATAACATGCAAAAAAAAGCAAAAAAGCTCGTAAACACTGGGTATTTTTAAACTCAGGACAAAATTTTGAATCTATTTAGCAGTTTTTTTCATTCGCTTTTGTAGATGAGTAAAAGATTTTTCAAGTAAAAGTCAAAAAACATGTATTTTTTTCAATTTTTCATCAGATTTTTTTATTTTTTTTAAATTAAAATACATGAGATTATATAAATAATGGTATGTAAAGAAAGCCCCTTTTGTCCTGAAAAAAACAATATATAATTTGTATGGGAACAGTAAATGAGAGAGCGGAAAATTACAGCCAAACACAAACACCAGAAAAGTGTAAAAATATTCCTGGTCGCAAATGTACAACATCGCAAAAACAGTCCAGTCCTTAAGGGGTTAAACACCAAAATGATATATAAACACACCCCTACATTAAGAAACCAACACTACACATAAATGCATGTTTGCATTCAAACTCCAACACCACATACAAACACATTCACATAAACATACTCCATACATAAACATACGTTCAAACACACAAAAACAATGCTAAATGCAACTCTGAAAGCATGGGGAATTGGTAGAGCTCCAGCTGTCAAAGCATTGTTGGAGTTGCATGACAGATAGGGGGGCCAAATAGAATTCTTGCACCAGGTCTCTTACTACTTTAGTTCCACCACTGCTTTGGGGTGGAAAGCATGATTGCATATCAGGGAGTGGGTCCAGGCGGGCCATGCAAATGCTTGCCCAGAGTCCAATCAATAATAAAGATGCCCTGGTGCAGGTGATAATGTTTATGGGTGGAGGAAGTCATTCTTGGTCTTTGTATGATCAACTTAAATGACCAAAGAGGCTGTAAAGCTCAGTTTATAAGTACCAAATAATACACCAGGTAAAAAATGCAAAGTCTTGTTAGTTTTTTTTAATTCTATCTTTAAGGAGATTATTGCTGGTTTATTTACTGTCAATTCAGGCAAACTTGTATTGGCACCAACCTGTCTGGTTTTAGCCAAAATGAGGCTAAAGACAGAAGATGAATGACAGGTTTTTCCTTCTTCTGTTTTATTTTCAAGAGTGCGGGTAACTAAGAATGAGAATATTTTATGAAGATCTGTTAATGAGCACCAGCAAGTAAATTTACAGTTTTTACATGGGTGGAGTTCGGAGCTTTGTGAAATTATATATATATATATATATATATATATATATATATATGTGTAAATGACAAGTATTAGCAGTAGAGAGATTATTTTAATTGGTCATACTGATTGTAAATGCTTGGAGAAGGGATACAGAGATTACAACCACAGCGCAGAGTGACATTTCATACAGGAAGAAAGAGAATGAAGAATTATTGTAATTATTATTAAGGACACACATCGGATTTCCAGTTATTTTTTTCAATGATTCATTTTATTGAACTATTGAAATGATAAAGGTTATATCAGTTACATTAATACACTAGTGAATGAAATGTTACGGAGGTTCGCAATATTGATGCCTCAGAGTACTTTACACACGAGTGTACTCAGAGAATATTACACCTATGACATCACAAGACGTGTTACTGGACCCTAAATAATGAAGAGCTCTAAAATCACATCACCCCTAATAATATAACCAGAAGGATCACTTTTAAAGCACAAAATATAGTAATAGACAAAAAAAGATGACACAGGTGTTTCCCTTTCTGTCCCATTTTAGTTAAATTGTAATCTTCCAAAGGAAAAGGGAGTCTGCACATTTCTCACTTACTAATCCTAGGGGAAGAACCAGACCCAAGGCTGGTGACCCCCATACATAAGTAGAAAAAGCAATGTAATTGAAGGTCGAGAAGTTTTTGTTCATGTTACGACTTTTGAATAAATATGTTACTGTATGTATTTTGAGTGCCTAGATCATACTGCTTTTCCATTTTAAATACATGACAAAATTAATTTCATTCTTTCATTTGCTATTAATTACTAATTGCTGTTTGGAGGGGTTTCCTGTAATTATTACATTGACATATCCGTTAACATTCAGAGCTTTAAATGTTATTTAATTGTATTATTTTTTTCTTGCATTATATGTAATGCATTAATAGTGCATTTGTATTCAAAATAGTTGCTCATTTTACCCCATTGTTAGGCATTAACATTCGGAAGTTTAAAAGTTATTTAATTGTATTTTTTTTTCTTGAATTATTTATGCAATGTATTTAAAATAGTTGCTCATTTTATCCCATTGTTAGATATTTTCCTTTTTGACAGCCCTAATAAAACAAAGATGATCATAAGCTAGCACCTCATTGTCTATTTTACTTTTCTGCACCTCACATCGCTCAATCGCAAGACCTGCATCTTCCAGAGCTTCTTTTATAAACTTTTCATCGCACCCTAAAATATGGTACTTTTCCTCACCAACAGTGAAAAATGCACCATTATAACCACCAAATAATAGCAGGCGTCCTCCTAGTTTTAGCATGGAAGCTATTTTTTTCATGTTAGAGCGGTAAGCTTCATGATCTTCACTAACAACATGTGTCACATAAAAACTCAACACACAGTCAGCTTTTGGTAACACAGCCGGGTCCGTAGGGTTGGCTTTGCTGAAATCACATTTTAAGATTCGTTTGATCCTTCTACGTAGGTCATTTTCCTTTTCTTTAAATCGATCACTAAAAAATATTGAAAATACAATTAATTTATCAAATGCATAGCAATGACATAATTGCCAAGGAAAGTTTGTGTTTTATTTGTTGCAAACAAAAGCTGTGTCTATTTATTTTATCCATTATATTCCCATGGGTGGTTTTGGAATTAAAGAGACACTGTAGGTTCCATAACTGCTTCAAAATATTGGATTGGTTACAATGGCTGGGGTATCCTTGTGCTGTCTTCAGCATTAAACCATTTTTTTAATGTTTTAATGCTTAACAAGAGTACCGAGCATCTATAACAGCCTACTGCAGTTATGAATCGTAATAGTTACAAGGAAGTCAGTAACCTCTGCCTTAGCTACACGTCCAGTGGGGCCGGATGGTTGGAAGCCATGGAATCTCATTTAGGGTTAAACTGCTCGGAAATGGTTTACCATTGAATGGAGGAACAGTGTGAAGGGACTCCGGACACCATAACCAAAGCAATGAGATAAAATGATTGTATTGCCGACCCTGTCCCTTTAAGAAGAATTTTATTTCTCAACAAAAATATAGATCACAGCATGTAAGTCCATTCACTAAATTCCAACATGTAGCAAGCTGAAATTGCAATGACAAAATCTAGTCTAAAATAGCCATATTGTGTCTATAGATGAGTTTCAGAATGTTTCCAGTTCACCTATTTAATGTTTTTAATTTTATATTTAAAAAAAAAAAATGTTTAGCAATATGGCTATTCTGTACTATTATGGACAGACAAAGATATACACCTGGAAAAACATCTAATTCACTTAGAATTTTCGCTTTAGTAAATAACCCTAATAACCAGACAAATGACAATTTCTGAGCAACAAACCTGTGTCATCTATTGTCCCATTTTTTCTGTCAGCCCCTCTCCTCAGGCTGCGCCGGGGCGGTGCGGTCCGCCCTCATGGACGCACCGCCCGGGCAAAGCTGCAGCCGCCTGAGGCTCTCTACTGAGCGCTCGGGCGGCTGCAGCATGGGGGGCCGGCGGGGCTGGTCATGGCACCCCCCACCCTGCTGGCACCCGGGAGGAACTGCCCCCCCACCCCCCCTTAGTATGCCACTGAGTATAATGACTATAGTAATAACCTCCCCTGCTGCTAGAATCCCCAGTAGCTGCTACAACTGAGCTAAACTCAGCCATGCAAGACTGCACTAATAGGTTGTGAGCAGTCAACTGACAGGGTTTAGCACAGTGGAGCCAATTAGAAGCTCTTTGCAGGAGGTTCCAGCAGCAAAGAATTTAGCAGAAGTTGCTGGCAGTTCTGGCACCTCTCCTTAAAATACACTTTACGTACAGCTTAATGTAGTGGTCTTTGTACTTAGATGATTTCCCTGCTCTGTGACAAATGTAAGCATTGCCATTTGTGAAAAACAGCAATATTTACATTAAATACTTTGTGCCTCTAATGTTTGTCAAGCAGACAGCCTCAAGAAGCACGTCTTAGTAAAGACTGAAAAAATTGCAGTTTTTACAGTTGTTGCCATGGCAATGTACTCCCATAGAGAAGCACTGTACTATTCTTGTATGAAGAAAATCAGTTTAGTGCGGTTGTATAGAGAAAATTGTATTGTACACATGAAACTGATCTCATCATTCCAAATATTAATGTCATTTACTGTCAAAGAATAACTATATATCTTATAATAAAATGTCACCTGTTTCCTTCAGATTCCATTACATATTTGCATAGGTAAGACCAATCAAACGCATCTTCATGGCCATTCAACCACTTCTGCACATCTTTAATGAAGACATCACTGAATTCTAAAATAGAGATCTCCTTGAAGAATCCAAAGATTGGGAAGAGCTGAACTACACTTGGACCAGCTGAAATGTCAATCAAGTGATCCCCACCAATGAGACCTGGCAAAAGGAACATAAAATAATATTACAACAGGTATTTTTTTTGTATTTTGTATGTAAGTTCTTTAAAGTAACACTCCATGCACCATAGCAACTTTATCCCCATGAAGTTGTTATTGTGCTAGGAATTCACGGATATATTCTTACCTTAAAGGAACACTACAGTGTTAGAAACACATATGTGTATTCCTAACACTATAGTGTGCTAGTCACAGTTAAGGTGATCCCCCCTCCGCAAGGGTTAAAAATGAATTTACTGACCCTTTATACCACACCATGTTGCTCTGTCCATGGATGATCTCAGCCAATCCATTGCTTTCCCACAGGAAAGCATTAAAAGGCTGGTGTGCATGAATGGCAAAATGCCACTCTACGCCAATCAGATGGTCTTTATAACACCAGCTGATTAAAATAGCTAGGTTTTACTCAGCTATTTCTACAGAAGTGACTCAAGTGGTTTTCCACTGCAGCGTTAAAACTAGAGGGACTACTTCATTGAGATAAAGTGGTCTAGATGCCTATAGATTCCATTTAATTGGTTAAACAGTTTGCAATGGCTTTAACCTCTAAGTTGTGAATACAGTGCCAATTTGCTCTGCCCCCTGGCTTTATTGAGGAAGCCTTAAACTGAGTGCACATTTTACATGTGTAATCATTAGACTGTGTGAAAAAGGTATGTATTTTCAACCTTTGACTGAATCTAAGGTACCAATAGCAAACACCAATATGGGGTGTCCTGACCATCACTTAGTACAGAAAAAGCAAAGGCTGGACTATTGATTGCCAGTGGATTAGGAAGGCCACTACAGGGGCAGAAATTTATGCTTTGGATTTTTTTATTTTTGGGTGGGTTGGGTTATTTTGGAGAAAACTAGCGAAAGAGTTACTTTCCTGCCTATATTGATAAATAATGGGTTTTTTTTTAAATCTCTCACCTTGCTTCCCCCTCTTTTTTTCTCTTCGCCCCTTGCTTCTTATTTTTCTAAAAACTCTTTTTAATTAACCTTTAATTTTGGGCAAAATGTTCTTTTTCCTATTTTCAATACCACCTGTTCCATGAATTGATTGATCATTTAAAATCCCAGATTTTCCCTGGATCTCCCTTGGATTCTCAGCTACTGCCCCACTAGTTAGTTCCTAACTCCTTACTAGCGCTATTTACTTGATGTGAAAATTACAGTTAACCCTCCCACCCCCTCATTTTTTTTCTTTGTTTAATAAACATACTCTCTTGAATCGCAATCTTATTTTGATTGATTATTGTAATGATTTTCTTTACATATGATTTCTGTACTTACATGTTCTATATATGTCTATTTCTTTATCGTTAATAAAATCATTTTAATAACAATCTATTAAATATTAAACTGTAACAAATAGTTTATGAGCATTTAGAACAGATACCTCAAAACAGAGTAACTCTCAGTAGATCACCTTTAATGTTAAAACCACTTTTATTGAATAAAACATCTTAGACTTTATTATTTATATTAAAAAAAACAAAAGAAAAATCAATATAATAATAAAAAAGTGTATTAAGTGTTCCAACAAACGTGATACATTGAAACAGCCTTATTGGTCCAAAAAACTGGTTAGTAGATAGTTTTTTGTATCAAGCTAGCTTTCGATGAAAGATTTTGCTTACAAGGTTGCAGTTAAGTATGGAAAACTTAAATATTATGTTTCAAAGATGGTAAATGCTTCTATGCTGCTAAAATTAATTTACTTACTATGAGGATAGAGGGTGCTGTCAAATCAACTTAGATTTGTAAATAGGATATAGTAGGTAGATTAGGATCTGTATTACTTATTTAGGCAGCCTAAGATTTTAGAATCAGAGGAATTGGAATGGGTTCAAGACACATTAGAAAGGCTAGCTCCAATAGTGATCACTGTTAGTGTTCAGTCCTTTCACCTTTTCATAAGATTTGATTTGTTAAGAAACAAATAGATGTCAGTCTGTTATATGGGCATTTTGTTCCCACATTCAGCGGCATAGCTGTGCAGCTGGGGCTCAATAAAAGTATATATTTAACAAATTATTTGAAAGTGATCTAAACAAACTGATCTCTAAGGAGCTCTGTCCTTCATTGAGGTATATGGTATAAAAGTTGAATATCTGATTCAATCAGATGTCAGAAAGTGAAAAACCTATCTTAAATAGCAACCACCCCCATACTGCTTCGAGGCAGTCCCCTGTATCTGACTAATGTCCCCCTTATTGGAGCATAGAGTGATTGAGGATTGGGAACCACAAGGCAAAGTGAAATTAAAAAGCAAATGCAAAGCATGTGCCTATAGTCTATAGCAGTGCTCCCCATCCCAGTCCTCATGGACCACCAACAGTCCAGGTTTTGTCAGCATCTCCATTGCAATAAAACAGGGAGATACATAAATCCTGGACTGTTGGTTGTCACTGAGGACAGGGTAGGAGAGCACTGGTTTATAGTGAACATACCTTCCTTAGCTTCCTTTAAAAGTTCTTCGACTGGAAATTTTAAAATCTCATCCAACATCAAAGTATCAGATGTTGCAGATAAATATCTTTCCACAACCTTTTCTGAATCGATATCATGCAGGTGATAGTGTTTATGGGTGGAGGAAGTCATTCTTGGTCTCTGTATGATCAAATTAGATGCACCAAAAGGTTTTGAAGCTCAGTTTATAAGTACCAAAAAAGACCACGGATAAAAAATGCAAAAAAATGTTATGGTTTTTTTTCTCACTCTGAGGATTATTGCTGTTGTATTTACTCTAACTCGAGGCAATTTTTTTATTCTACCCTGTCTGGCTTTATCCAAAACAAAGCCAAAGACAGATGATGAATGACATGTGATTGTATGTTTTTCCTTCTTCTGTTTTATATTCAAGAGTGCGGGTAACTAAGAAGGAAAAGATATGTTTATGAAGAGTTGTTGCAGAGCAGGGGACAAGTACATTTAAAGTTTTTACAAGGTTGGAGTGCAGAGCTGTGTGAAATTATATATGTGTATATGCCAAGTGTTAGCAGTAGAGAGATTATATGAATTGGTCATACTATTTGTGAGTCCTTGGAGAAGGGATACAGAAATTACAAACGCAACGCAGAGTGACATTTTATACAGGAAGAAACAGAATAAAGAATTATTGTAATTATTATTAAGGACACACATCGGGTTTCCAGTTATTTTTCAATTAATAATTTTTTTGAACTATTGAAACCATAAAGGTACATCAGCTACATTAATACTATAATGAATGAAATGTTTCAGAGATTCAATATATTGATACCCCAGAGTGCTTTACACACGAGTGTACTTAAAGAATATTACACCTATGACATCACAAGAAGTGTTACCGGACCCAAAATAATGAAGAGAAGCCAATGCATCACCTGCTCTCCTGAAAAAGCAATATAATCCAGGCACTCAAGGCACATAAAGCAGCAGATTTATTGGAATGTCAGAACGTAAAAAGAAACGTTTCGACCTCCAATGTCAAGCTTGATAAAGACATCCTGGAAGGTCGAGAAGTTGTTGTTCATGTTATGACTTTCCAATAAATATGTTATTGTATGTATTTTGAGTGCCTAGATCATACTGCTTTCCCATTTTAAATACATGACAAAAATCATTTCATTCTTTCCTTTGCTATTAATTACTAATTGCTGTTTGAAGGGGTCTCCTGTAATTATTGCATTAACATATCCGTTAACATTCAGAGCTTTAAATGTTATTTAATTGTATTTTTTTTTCTTGCATTATATGTAATGCATTAATAGTGCATTTGTATTCAAAATAGTTGCTCATTTTACCCGATTGTTAGATATTTTCCTTTTTGGCATCCCTAATAAAACATAGATGATCATAAGCTACCACCTCATTGACTATTTTACTTTTCCGTACCTCACATCGCTCAATCGCAAGACCTGCATCTTCCATAGCTTCTTTTATAAACTTTTCACTGCACCCTAAAATATGGTACTTTTCCTCACCAACAGTGAAAAATGCACCATTATAGCCACCAAATAATAGCAGGCATCCTCCTAGTTTTAGCTATTTTTTTCATGTTAGAGTGGTAAGCTTCATGATCTTCACTAACCATATGTGTCACATAAAAACTCAACACACAATCAGCTTTTGGTAACACAACTGGGTCCGTTGGGTTCACTTTGCTGAAATCACATTTTAAGATGCGTTTGATCCTTCCACGTAGGTCTTTCTCCATTTAATTAACTCGATCACTAAAAAAGATAGATGATACAATTATTGTAGCAAATATATGGCAATCACAGAATTGCCAAAGAAAATTTGTATTTTATTTGTTGCAAACAAAAGCTGTGTCTATTTATTTTATCATTTCTATGCACATGGGTGGTTTTGAAGTTAATGGCACACTGTAGGTTCCATAACTGCTTCAAATTATTGAATTGGTTATAATGGATGGAGTATGATTGTGCTGTCCTTCTATTAAGCATTACATTTTTTTTATGTTTTAATGCTTAACCCCTTAACGCCATTACGGAGTTCTATGCCATCCCGCAGTCAATGGGCTTTAAAGCCGTTGCGGCGGCAACAAATGCAGTAATGGCCGGGATACTTACCTTCCTAATGATCCGCTTCTGGAGGACTGCCTGACAGTCCAGGCAGTCCTCCAACAGCAAATCAGGCCTTGGGGGCCATGTGATCGCTCTTAATGAGCGATCACATGGCCGCAATAGCTGCCCATAGAGCTGCCTGTAGGGGCACTAATGGTGGTAAATGCTAAAAAAAATTATGATTACATATGTAAAAATAATTATATGTCTATAGCTATATAATATATATCCACATATAGTAACTATATTGTGAATTATGCTAGATTTGTGAATGACATCTTCCTGATTTGGAAAGGTACCTCTGATGAATCGGAAGGAATGGTGGAACAGATTAATACATCACCTTTACCTGTTAAATTAACAGCCACGTGGAATCAGAACATGATATATTTTTTGGACGTCACTGTTTATAAAAAGCACAATACATTGGGATGCAGCTTATATCAGAAAGATACAGACAGAAATACACCACTTCAGGTGACAAGCTTTCATCCACCTTGATTCAGGGACTCTTTACCCATCCCCCAATATATGAGACCGATTAGATATAATGGCTCATCGGACAGAAGAGACATACAACTACAAGAATTATGGGTTCAAGGAAACCCAGGTTTGGCCAGGTTTTACACAGAGTCATGGCCAAGGCTGTTGAAAGAATTTCATTTCAGGAATTTCATTGGTGAGATAGCTCAGTGGGCTAATGAAGTCTAGATGATTATTCTTGTTCTCGGGTAGGATAGAGTACAACAAGTTGTAATTAATGGTAAATTTTCAGGCTGGACAAAAGTGTCCCTCAGGGTTCTGTTTTGGGACCGCTTCTTTAAACATATTTATAAATGATCTTGAAATGGGCATTGAAAGCCATGTTTCGGTGTTTGCAGATGACACAAAACTTTGTAAAGTAATTAAATGTGAGCAGGATATTGCTTTACTGCAGAGGGATTTGGATAGATTGGGGTATTGGGCACTAAAATGGCAGATTAAATTTAACGTAGAGAAATGCAAAGTTATTTCAACATAATGCACAAGCAACTTACACCTTAAATGCTAGTGAATTAGGGATAACCACACACAAGAAGGATTTGGGAACTGTTATAGACAACAAATTAGACAGCAATATGCAATGTCAAACTGCAGTTGCTAAGGCCAGTAAGGTTTTGTCACGTATAAATTCTCGGGTTGAAAATATAATTTTGCCTCTTTATAAATCGCTGGTAAGACCACACCTTGAATATGCTGTGCAATTTTGGGCACCTGTTCTAATAAAGGATATCATGGCACTAGAAAAAAGTACAGAGACGAGCTACAAAATTGATAAAAGGAATGGAGCATTTTAGTTACGAAGAAAGGTTAAAAAATTTAAATCTCTTTAGTTTGGAAAAACGGAACCACAGAGGGGATATGATAACATTATACAAATATATTCGGGGCCAGTACAAACCATTATCTGGAAATCTATTCATAAACAGGGCTATACATATGACACAAAGTCAAATAAATCTAATCTTTCATCTAAGGCAAAGAAAAGATTTTTTTACAGTAAGAGTAATAAGAATATGGAATTATCTGCCTTAAGAGGTGGTTTTATCAGAGTCCATACAGATGTTTAAACTGAAATTGGAAAAATACTTGCTAAAACATAACATACAGGGATATAATTTATAATTAGTGGGGTAATAGCTGCCTTATCCAAGGAGACATCTAACTGCTATTTTGGGGTCAAGAAGGAATATTTTCCCAGTTTGTTGCAAAATTGGAAGCGCTACAGACTAGGTTTTTTGCATTCTTTTGGATTAACAGCAAAAATATATGTGAGGAAGGCTGAACTTGATGGACGCAAGTCTCTTTTCAGCTATGTAACTATGTAGCAGGACTCCAGGATTACAAGAGAGAAAACTAATAAGATTTTCTTACCCCTATCATTCCAGGTAGTTTTGGAATATAGAAATCTATATATAAACATTGGGATATACTAAAAGCTGACATGAATTTTATGGCAAGACAGGAGGCTCCATATATGCTTTACCTTCTTTACTGAACCTTCTAGGAGCAAAGAAATAGTTCACATAACTTTTCAGAAACAATCAATCAAACAAAAGAACAGAAGAACAAAACTCTCAGGCAGACCCTCCCAATTACTCTTTCTTTGTGGCTGCCTCCAGGTGAACACTACCAAACTCAGAGAGTGTATCTGCTCTGGGCTGTTTATTGCTTTATTGTTTATGTATTACTATAAACTGCATGTTTGCCTTGATTTCTGTATTTATTTATTTAGTTTGTTTAGTTTATTCCATCCAGTTTTTAATGGGGCTCTTGGAACTCCATTGGTGTCTTTGACACATGAGGGCCTGGAACAACTAGGTCATGTCGGCTCCCCTCTGGACTTCATGGAATGCCAAAGATTGGCAGCTTCATTCCCAGTGTTTAGCGTGTTGGACTTCCTTTGGGGTTCATGTTATCTGGACCTGTTCATGTCCAGGGCAAACCGTTCATGGTGTTGTTCCTTGGCTGGCTCCTGTTTTTCTCTCGACGCGACCATGGATGCGTTAATCCAGGTGTGGCCACTCATTGCTGCCTTTCTCCATAATGCATAGGACTTTCCATCAGACCAAGCTTCTGAGGGTGTAGATACTCTTGATCGCATCATTGTTGAGCAGTCAGCTGTGGTTTCCTATACATTTGGGGTTTGTCGTGCGAAGACCCGTTACTGCTTCCTGTCTCCGTGTTTCTCCTTTGAAATCTGTCTGGGATCCCGCACACTGGCACTCCTTGGACCTCTCCTACTACACCGGACATGGTGGTTATGCTACTTAGAGTGTTCCTTTAAAAAGACACTCTAAGCACCAAAACCACTACAGCTTAATGTAGTGGTCTTGGTACCTAGATGATTTTCCTGTAAATATTGCTGTTTCTCAACAAAATCAATGCTTCCAAATGTGAGCATTGCAATTTGTGAAAAACAGCATTATTGACATTCATCACAGTTTTTACAATTGCTGTTGTATGTTGCATTGAGCTAAGTCTTACCATAGA